CAGCGAAACGACATGCCCGGTGGAAGGATGCTTTAACAATCAGCAGAGCCTGTCCTTCCCTGATTCCGAGGATGGCAGGAGGAGGAGCGCGATTCATTTGGGAGCAATTGAAAAACGGGGGACCAAATGGAGCCCATTGGTTGATAGTGTTTGATAGGCGAGAGTAGCCAATGGATATGTAGGGGGTTTGCTTTAATTACCTCGTTCATCACATTCATAGGAAGCTGCCTAATACTGAGTCAGACCATTGGGTCTATCTAACTCGATCTTGTCAATACTGACTGGCAGTGGTTCTCTTTAGGGTGAGTCAGATGATAAATCTCTCCCAGTCCTACCTGAAGATGCCAGGGATTGAAACTGGGATGCTCTGCCATTTAATTATAAATACAGGAAGTCAGATCCTGGGGTTCATCAAGCTCAATCCTGTCCACAAAGACTAGAAACAGCTGCCTGGGATTTCGGGAATGAAACATTCCCAACTCTACCTGACAACACTGGAGACTGAACTTGGGATCTTCTGAATGCAAAACAGATGTTCCGCCACTGAGCTTTGACTCCTTCTCTGCAGAATCTGGCCTTGTTCATTTCCTCTTCCTTCCTTTCTCTCTTTCTCTCCCTCCTTCCCTCCTTTTGATGGGGAATCAGGCAGGTCTGCCATCAGACGAGTGAAGTCAACTTCACTTCTTCCTCGCAAGCATCTCTGGGTATGTTTGCAATGAGAAAAGTCTACTCTCTAACCAAGATTCCACAGTCAAACATATTAAAAGGGTTTCAGTGGGTAATTGGACCCTGTTATCCAAATAATCTGGAAGCCCCCCCCCCAAAAAAAACCAGACTATTCCCGCCATGCAATAAATGCACAGGGAACTGTCCCTGGTTAAGGGACAAACAAGTAAAATGGATCCTGTGGCGCTTGAGGAGGTCAATTCCTAAACCTTCCAAGAGAAATCTCTGTAGCTGGAGCTCAGCAGCGTCTGGAGACAAAGGCTCACCCCTGCTCAGCTCCTATCGGTGACAAATCCACACCACAGACAATGGTTTCTGGGCTAATCCTTTTATAGCTGCACAAACCACTAATTAAGACTCCAAAGCCAGCCTGCCTTGCCATATTGAACAATGACGCTGTTCTAAAAGGCTCCTCTTGCCAGGAAGGCAAGAGAGGCCGCAGAAGTTTGGGAACTGGCTCCCTCTGGCACGCCCCCCCTCATCAGTATGCTGCACAGGGCCATTTTACTTGTCAGTTTGGGTGCTGGGATGTGGGCGGCGGATGAGGAGGGTTGTTAGTAGCTTTGGTTTTCGCTGAGGCGGAAGCGTTCCTGTAAAAGAGAGGGGAAGCATTCTGGCCGCTGCTGCATTAATGGACATTAATATGAGGGACCAGGCCTAAAGGGTTTTCTGTCACAGGGAGGAGGGTGTGCATTGCACAGATTCATGGCACTCAAACTTTCACCACACAGTTTGGCTCCAGCCAACTCCTTGCAGATCCTTCTGCAGTGTCGTGGCAGTCTGCACGGTCAAGAAACAAGGCTGATTGCAGGTGATCATTCCTGCAATCAGGTGATTGCAGGTGATCATTCCCTTTCATCACTGCTGGGGAAATAGTTCTCACCCACCAATGCTCCCTTACAGTATATTCTATCACCACCTGCTAGCAATAGCTTCTGCATTCTGCAACGCCCCTCTCAGGGCTTGACCAAGACATTTCGGCCTAGGAAGTAACACAGTTCAGGAGAAGGTTGCCAGTTCACTGTTGAGATCTGCCATGTCTGTTGCAAGGCAGAATATAGAAGGCTGACAAGTAATTAAAGGAATGGTGATATAAAAATTAAGAGGGACATAAATGGTAGGAGCTGAGTAGCAGAACTTGGCAGTTGCAGCATCTAAGTTCATAAACACGTTAAGAGGCTTTTTCTAATAACAAGGAATCCACAGTGGAAGAGTTATGGGTTTTGGTAGATCTGGTTCATGGAATCAGGAGTGCTTCCAGGCTCCCCCTTGCCTAGTGGGTTTATCTGGATGGGTGACTCTATTCATTTTGGTTCCTCTCTGTTTCTTATTTTTTCAGTCTTAAATTCAGTTCTCCACATTTCTGCGTCAGTTTGCAGTTAAAAAATCATCAGCAACTCTCTCCTAATATATCCATGGCAATTTTGTGTAATATGCATTTTTCACAAAGCAGTTTTCCTCAATATAATACGTTTTTGTTCTTTTCATTTATATGCACGCTTTACCCCAGTATGTACACCTTACTTGGAGAGAGAACTGCATTGCAAAATTCAAGGAAGTGCAAATTTCAAAGGAGGGATATGTTTCCATTCATGTATTGTTTCACAAAGCAGTGGTTGGATGGCCATCTGTCATGTATGCTTTAGCTGAATTTCCTGCACTACAGGGGGTTGGACTAGATGACCCCCAAGGTCCCTTCCACCTCTGCAAGTTTATGATTCCATGATTCTATGTGAACTAAATCAAATTTCTCTCCCATCTCCTTTAATCAGAACTGGGTAATCACTATGAATTTCTATTCAAAATGTCCTGGAGTGCCGGTAGAGCATCACTCTGCAGCACTGGGAATATTTTAAATAGCAGTTTGCAGCTGTCTGCCACTCAACAATTGGGGTGGTGGCAGTGCCAAGTCACTGGGGCTCCAGGAAGCTGCAAAGAGTCACTTTCAGTCAAGATGCAACGATCACCTATTCCATGATCAGCTGGGTGCCTGTGAGCCAGGGATGGGAAACAACCTTGGGCCCAGGTGCCAGATGCATCCTTCCAAGCCTACCTGGCCCTTGGGACCCTCCCCAGACCACTCCATCCCAGGTGGTCCTGCTTCCCTCCCTCCTCAAGTGTTTTTGCCTGGCTGCAATGAGTCCTCGAACTCTGATCAAGTTTCTTGCTCGCCTGGATGGAGGATAGGGAAGGGTGCTTGTATAAAAACTAGCCTGCTTTAGAAAAGCAAAATTTACATGCATTGCTCTGCCCTCTTTTACCTTTGACTCCACCTAACCCTGGCATGTGGCCCCCAGAGGGTGCCTAGAAAGGAATGTGGCCCTCCAGATAAAAAGGTTCCCAATGTCTGCCATATCCATGGGAAATGACTGCCAAGGGCACCGGGTAGCTGCAGGGTATTATGCCTGAATTCGGTCTAGCAGCCAGGCTGGGTTTCATGATGAGGCAGCAGTCACCAAAACAAGACTGTAGGAAGCCGTTCAAGCATTGCTTTTGCCAGATAGGGTTTAACCCCCCAGAAAGCAGCTCACCCCTTCAGTCCTCTTGGCTGAATGTGGGATCTCAGCCTCCCCTTTTTTCACAATAACTCTCCTCGCTTCCCAGCAAAGAGGCACAATAGCTGTATCGCCTGGGCTCCTGGCCTGGCTGGGCTCATTTGCATCTCAATATTCAGCCTGTTCTTTCCTCGCTCACCAATTTCACAGCAAGCCTGTTGTTTTAGCTGCGCTGGGAACGGCGTCTGTCCATCCGGTGCTCAGGAAGGCGTTCTGCCTTGGGTGAGACTTTGCAGCAGCACTGAACCAGGGGGGAGTTGTGGTCCGTCAGATTCAAGACCTCACAGTGGTGGGTGAGAGAGGGGTAGCACATCATGGTCCCCATGTCGTAAGGATGTATGGCATACCTTCTAATATTCCTCAGATGACAATAGGGACATTTCTCACTCCCCACAACTGACCCTCCTTAACCCCCCCCCAATTTTTGTGCGGCCCCCAGCAGAATATTTGTTATCAGAAGAAGGGTGAGTGCCCCCACCACTTCACTAATGGGACACAGCACACACGTCCTCCACCATCCTGAGAAAACCCCTTTATCCCAGTTTTATTTTATTCTTAGGTAGATTTACAAAGAGAAATACACACCAATAAATAAAATTTAGAAAGGGGCAAGATTAGACACAGATGCGCAAGGTATCTTTTTTCACATCAAGACTCCTGGCACTCTGCTCCGCTCCCCCTTTCTTCCCAACCAAGGCAGCTGTGCTCTCTGCCTGCACCTCAGAGCCAGTGCATGACATGGGGCTAGGCCTCCGCAGCAGCATCCTCTCCTCCTCCTCGCCCACTCTCCAGCAGCCACCATGAGCTCCCCAAGGGAGGATGCCAGCAGCGGCCATGGAGAGGCAACAGGATGTTGCCTTGCCACCGCCATCGCTCAGGACAAGCACTGGTTCATCCACCTCCCTTAGCTTGGTTGCGCCAGCACTGGCAGGGGAAATGGAGACATTCCAGGATCAAATCAGAAGCCGGGATGGCTTTCATAGTTCCGGGACTGTCCCTGGAAAATCAGGACACTTGGAGGGTGTGGTATGGGGGACATAAAGGCCAAGATGCAGCATGTGAAAAGACTCCAGGAAGTTGTTGTTGCTTTTTAAAGTGAATGTGTTATAGGGCTTTTATTGAGGAGCATTTAGAACCACCCTTTTGGTGGCCTGGTGAGAGCGGAAAGGCCAGAAGGGTCACATTTGGCCCTGGGCCGGAGGTTCTCAACCCCTGTTTCATACATCAAGTGCCCATGTGCCATGATATATTCTGTATTTGAAAGGCTGTCCAGTCCAAGCTGGCGGACTTTAAAGATAAAAGGGGAGGGGTTCAGGGGCCTTGAAGTTGCCCATGCAGACTAAGCAGGTGCACAGGTCACCTGGTCATATTTGCCACTTCACTACATAGGCAGATTTTATTTTTTTAAGTTTTTTATTTATACAACAAGGAAAAAAAACACACACACAAATATCAAATTACACACAAATTACAAAAATAACCATAGGCACATAATTTTCTTAGCAAACAATAAAACATCTATTGGTCTTAACACTAAAGACCCAACCTCCCGTCTATTCCATATTTCAAATTCATATTACTTTTTGCCAGTATACGCTTTTATCATAATTAAACTTATTCTCAATAAATCTAATTTCTTATATCTACCTTGCGAGTATTACTGAAGTTCCTTGAATGCTGCAACAGAATTTAAACTACTATCAGATAATCTTTGAAAACCTTCCATTTTGAAACAAATTCCTGTTTTGATTTATTCTTTATTTTTTCTGATAAACCATCTAATTCGGCATATTCTGTCAGCTTTTGGATCCAATCTTGTATAGAGGGGATTTCATTACTCTTCCATTTTGCTGCGATCAAAACATAGGCAGATTTAAGGGACCAGTTCACTTGCACTGGATGCTGAGCCAAGAGGGTCCTGCAGGGGGCGCTGCAACAACGACAAACAATGGAAGGTGAGTGGTAGGGGGCACCGAATTTTGGTGTCACATAGGGTGCCATTGAAATTTTAAAGCCCAAATCCCATCACTGTTCCCTGCTGTATCACTGGGTTGTATAAAAGTGCTGGTCCTACTCAGAATAGACCTACTGAAACTAACAGACATGCCTATCCCAGGAGTCATTAATTTCAAATGTTATTTTAGGCAGCAAAGGAGGATGGACTGTTGACAATTGCCCAATGGGCAGGGTGAAAGCCTGCAATCCTAAGCAACCTTACTGTGAATTTCAGTTGCACTGAATCCAATGGAACATATTTCCAAGTAGGGATGGGGGATAAATTTAATTCTGTTCACATTTAAAGGCAAACCTACTTGATTTGAACTTTCCAAAACAATAGGCAAACTGAAACATGGCCATCCTTCAAGATTCACACTTCCCAGGATTTTGTAATGCAGTTCCCCAGCTGAGTAATGTGTGCAAAAATCCATATACTCTGGGAAAGTGCATAAATGTGCATAAATGCATGTATCAGTGAAAAGAACTTACAAAATGCATTATATTAGGGGAAAGTGTTTTGCAAAAATGTGCAGATTTGAATAAATCTGCTCTAAGATGCTGATAAAATCACAAACTGATGTGGCAGTATGGAGGACTGAACTTAAAATTGGGGGAGAAACAGAGAGAAGCCATAATGGACTGATTTGCACATCCTTATTTCTAAGTGTCTGTGGTTAGGATGAGGTTAGTGTGCCACTGCCAACCAGCAGGGGGCACTTGGTCCTTTTCTAATTCATCAGTCCAAAAAGATGTGCCATGACTAAGCCATGAATGGATTAACCACAATGCTAACTAAGCTCTAGAGCTGACCTCCCAGACAAACTGAAGACCCTGCTGGGGCATCAGTGTATGGGCTGGCCTGGATAATATTTTCCCCCAGTCTGGCCCACATGCTCCATGCAGAGAGCTCACATTCATATGCCAATCGGGATGAGCAAAACACAACACCACTTGATCAATTTTCTTACTATAGTCTAATAATCAACCATGTCGTTTTGGCCTAGGCACATTGAATGCTGTGCAATTAAGCCATATTAGAACACTAGACATGTGGGGATGTTGCAGATGGGACAGGTAAGGTGGGAGAGCAAGTGTGCGTCTCTGTAGAAAAGAGCTGTAGCTCAGCGAGCACCTAGTGCGCATGCAAGTCGCGTTGGTATCTCCAAGTAGAGCTGGGACAAACTCTAGTCTAGAACAGGAGAGACTAGAGCCACTGCCAGCCAACATAGTAGATGAGGGGTGGGGGGACAATTTTCAGTCTGAAGGTCACATTCCATTGTGGACAACCTTCTGAGGCCCAAAGGATGGGTGGGGCCAGATGCAAAAAGGAGCAGAGCAATAGAAGAGCCCTGCTAGATCAGGACCATGGCCCACCCAGTCCAACATCTTGTTCTTACAGTGGCTAACCAGATGCCCATGGGAAATCCACAAGCGGGACCTGAGCACAACAGCAATCTCTTCACTAGTGATTCCCATCAACTGGTATTCAGAGGCATACTGTCTCTGACAGTGGAGGGAGAAAACACAGCCTCCTTATCCTCAGTGAATTTCTCTAACTCTCTTTCTTTTGTCTGTCCTGAATCTTCCAACATTCAGTTTCATTGGATGTCCACGAGTACTAGTGTTATGAGAGAGGGAGAAAAATTACCCAATGACAACTTGACATTTTTGGTGCTTTTATTATTCAGGGAATTGGCTGTGTTTACTTCCAAGGGATGTCGCATCCACATTTTGATTACTCCTACTCAACGAATAATATCCTTAAAATAATCATGCAATAATATCCTTACGCTGTAGAATGTTGTTGCTTTGCAAAGGTAATGATTACCTTTTTAAGGTCAAATAACACTTTCAATTTCCTGCTCAGTACCTTCCTTTGCCCTCTACCTTGCCTGAATGTAATACTTAACCAGCCTTGAGAGATGTTAAGGTTTTGCAGGGTATGGGCCTATCCAGATTGATGTTTTATTGCAGGGGTATTCTGCAACATGTTCTTGTAATCCCAATAGTGCATTAATGATGGGTTTATTCTGTTTTAGTTTGTTCTGTGATGCTTCCCTAATGCTATAACATATTATTGCTATCCAGAAGGCCTGCAGAGCAACAAACGTGGGACAAAAATAAACCAGATTTGTGGTATAAAAAGTTACAGGATTTCCAGTTATGCGATATGCACTGATCAGAACTGAAGCCCCCAAACTTTTGCAGATGCAAGCAGTATTGAAAGCGGGATTATCTATGACCATCCCAATAACATTATGGAAACATAACGAATACAGAATTAAAAGGATTTCTGAGGAGCCTGTGTCACTGACATTTTTAAGATCTGCTTGTGCTGCTTGGCAGTCTTGCTGTGTGTGTTTTTTTAACGGTTTCTGTTGTCTAATTTGTTGTTCATGCTGCATTTGTTTTTTTATTAGGTTTGAATTGTATTTTACTCTTTTCACAGAAAGCCACCACAAGGAGTCTGGTTATGGGGAAGCATATACATGTTGTAAACAAATAACCAACAACACTTAATAGAATTAAGGGATAAATTGTTATCAAAGCCTTTCTAACCTCAGCTTATGATATCTCTGATGTTCCATGGAGCTGTGCAATGCGAAACAAGGATCCTCTCTATTGTGTCTGTTGAGCCCTTGGATGAGCTGCAATAAAGGACAATCCTTTTTACATGAAGGATGGCTTTTGAAATAAGGGACATCTGGCAACCCAACTGGGAAATCTCCCCTGCTGTAATAATCATCTCTTGTCCAGGCGGTGTTGTTGCAAACCGTAAATGAGGGTCTCTGCTCATCTTGAGAGTCCAGGGCTGCATGTAATCTATTCCCACCTCCTTTTGATTCTACCTTTTAAAAAAAACCAAACAGTTATTTCAGATTTTTGATGTGTCATAAGTATAAGATAAAAGCAAATAATAAAAATAACAAGCCATCAGCGTTATTTATTTAGGAGAGTGATTCACCTAATGCTTTGAAATATAATTGATTGACCAGCTGGGGCACTGCTTGGGATGAATTCCAGAGGGGTAGCAGTGACAGTCTGCTGCAATTAAGGGGGGGAGGAGCCTGATTTGTCAAATATGCACAGTTACTGGGAAGTAAGCTTAGTGAAGCTTCTCCTTGAAAATTAGCCCCATTGATCAGTGGGACTTGCACCTAAGTCAACATGCAGAGAGTTGATCTGCACTGGCAGGCTGCTGCAGTCCTATAAATAAACCCTACTGCACATACACAGAATAATGTAGTTTACTTTGGAGCACCGGAAGTTGGGTGGGACCTTAAAGAATTCACACAGCTGCACTGTCTTTACACGTTTCCTCAGAAGTAAGCCCCACTGGATTCAATGGGGCTTTCTCCCAGGCAAGCAACCATGGTAGGACGGATCGCCACCACAGTGTGTCATAAGCTTTTGTGCACCCCGTCGGCTGCCTAGTAAATATAATAATAATAAATGAGGAAATGCTTCATTACTGATGACGAGAGCTCTGCACTTCCAAGAAACCGATGCCGCAAGGGATCTCGTTAGTCTTTCAAAGTGCCCAATCTTATTTCTATTTCCTATAAAGCACGGTTCGCCCTCGCATATAAACTCTCACTCACTCACTCATAGCCAAATCCCAATCCAGGCAAGAGTAGGCAGGTGAGCGGCGCGTCCTTTCCCTCACGCGCCGGCACCACAACTCCCAGTGAGCTTTGCGCTAACTCGGGCGCTGCCGTCAGTGAACGGAGCCGGCGCGTTGCGTGTCGGGACATGTAGTCGTTTGTGGATTTTTTCCTCCTCGCGTTAAAGATCTCGAAGGCAAAGTGAGAGGAGGCTTTTTCGGATGCCCCCTCGTGATAGGCCGCGCCAACTTGACGGGGCGGGAAGAAGGAAGCCTATATAATAGGGAAGAAGGTGGACTGACGTACGGGAGAGCCTATGGTGTGCCGGCAGTGTCGCTGGGCGGGCGGACCGTGAGGGGGAGGCCTGTGGCGCTTGTCTTCTTGTCCCGAGCTTGAAAGGAGGTGGAAACAGCAGTGGCGGCGGCGGCGGCGGCGGCGACGTTTGTCGTTGGAGACGCAACCTGAGGCGAGTCCCTTCAGCGGCGGGACAACCGAAGGAAGAAGGTGAGTGTCCGGAGCGGCGAAGGCGGCCGTCCTGGGCCTCCTTCGCTCGCTTCCTCCCGCCTCAGAATTTTACCTCAGAAGGATGACGACGCCCCTATTTCGAGCGGGGGGTTATGTTTTGTTCCCGCTCCCCGGCATAACCACACCTCGGAGGACTGCCGTGTCCCTCCTGGCGCCCAGTCCCTTCACCGCATTGAACACCTCCCCGCCCGGCTCAGTTTTTTGAGGCCTGCTTCCTCCGTAATGGTCTCCAAAAGTGTTTGTTTTCTGTAGTGGTTCTCTTCTTCATAACCTCTCTCACTCACGCACACGTATTCTTTCTTGCTTAAAAAAACCCCCAGCAACAACTTGGCACCCTTGACACGCGTCGAGGGGATCCACACGTGCACACTCATACTTCTCTGGAAGGGAAGGGCGTGTGCTACCTTCCCATGTGTTGACTTGTTTGTTTCTTTCAGTAGAACCACACACCTCTGAACTTGGCACCCTTGACTGGCGCATGTGCCCCCTTCCTCCTCCTCCTCCTCTGCTGGGAGGGATGGTGGTGCCTTGTTTCCTGCTCTGGCGTTATTTATCTTGCCCTTGTATTTAAGGACTAGCCTGGTAGCCATAGGTGGCTGGCAATTGTGTGCTGGGGAGCCCTACTCAGGTGAGCAGAGTTGGTGGAGAAGGGATGGGAAAGCACCCAGCATAGAAACTAAGAGGGGTGTTATAGGAAGTAAGTCCCCTTCTCTGTCCCCGGTCCGTCCCTCCTTTGCCAACCCTGAGTGGGCAAGAAAAACAAAATAGTAGGCTAGTAATTTTTACAAGGCTGCTTTATCTTTACTTCTCCTGCATGCAGAATGTTTATGGCTTGATTTGATTTGCAGGGGTTGCTGAAAGTGCAAACGGTCACTTGTGAGGAAGTCATGAAATGCTTCTTTTCTTCCTCCCCAAACTGAGCCCAGTGGATTGTGCATAAGCACTAAATCTGTTTATCTTTACTGCAAGAGTCTTCTGCCTTAAAAAAAAAAAGTTGAAGTACGCTAGATAATGGGAGGAGAGAGGGAAAGTTCTGTCTTGTGGTTACAGAAGCTGGGTTGGCTGCCTCAGAGGTGCAAGTCATTGCTTGATGTTAACAGCTGTCAAGCAGTGGAAATGGGTGTGTGGATGCTCTGGGAGAGAGAAAGATATAGGAACCGCAGAAAAGTGGTGTGGGGTAGTATAATGGCCAATGCTGGTACAAAATTTAAACATACCAAGGCTCTTGGCCAAAACCTAGAAATATCTGAACACATTCTATTTAAACAGATGTTCTGTCGTGCTGTCCATTCCTCGCCTTTAATGCAATTTTATTTACAACATTAAATCACCCAGACCCGAACCAATAAAGTACATGAAGCACTTTGCATGCTTGAAAGCACTATTCAGATATTAAATATTTTTATTAAGTCCCCTATTCCCCACACTTGTTTCTGTTGCTTGTGTTGACCCTTTGGTGAGGCACCGTTTAATCTAGTTTCTATAATTACCATCCTTTAGACCCTTATCTGGATATGCCTGCCCCCTTGTTAAAATCTTGTTGTTTTTCACTGGGCCGCTAGATTAGTACTACCAGTACCAGCACAGAACAGAATTCTCAGCTTGCCCATAAATATACATAAGATGTTGCAGGAAGGGGGAAACCTGTTCTTTAGGCACCCTTTCCCTGATCAATAACAGGGGTTCAAAGACTAGTATGCTGCCACAAGCTCCTCTTCCATCAGCTCTTAGTCCCACATCCTTTACTACCCCACACTTCCTCTTGTAGACTCAGATATGTCTTCTGTTCTGTAGTCTGGTGTCCTGGACTTCAGCTTTGGTGCGGCATTCCTTTCTTTGCACACTTTCCAATCTCTGTCGCTTTGTGCTTTTGTCTATACCTTGGTGTGTGTGCCTTCCTCCTTCCCCATTTTTTTGGACCTCTCCCTTGCATGATACATACAAGTTCACACCCTTGTTAATTTAATGTTAAACTACCTCCCATTTCTCCAGTGGCTGACATGGAATATAATCTTACAATTTGCAAGCCTGTACAGAAACTCTGAGAACAATTAACAAATTTACCATGTTACAAAAACAGGTCACTAGAGTGTATTGGTGTAATCTGGTTAATACAGACTGTTTGCCCCTTTATAATCCATTTCTTTGGGAAGCATCTTGCTCTAACCTAAGTGGGTACTATGAATGGATTACAAAGGAAGAAAGAGTATTATGTTTCCAAGAGACAGGAGTTGGGAAATTGACAATGGAATGAAAATATGGATATTACAAGAGTGTCTTACGAATTCTAATTGCCCATCAGTGATCTGGGAAGTTAAATCTAACAGACCTGATTTCTTTCTTAATATGTGTAATCTTGTCAGGATTCTTGAGATGTGAGCGTATGGACTAGAAAAGACACTGAAAAAAGTGTAGGAAGCTTAAAATCAGCTGTGTGTTTCTGTGTATACAAATTACAGTTAGATATTGAAGAGGAACTCAATCTATTGTTCCTGGCTCAATCTCCCCCAGCTTTAGTAACCTTCAGATGTTTTAAACACCATCTCCCTTCAACCCCAGCCAATATGGGCAGTAGTCAGGAATGATGGGAGTTGTAATCCAACAACATCTAGAGGTCACCAGGTTAGAGAAGCCTGCTATACCCAGTAGGTTTCATTACACAGTATATATCAGAGGCAGCCCCTTTCATGCTATGTGAATCCATCGCCAATAAGGTGTTTTGTACAGGTGCTGGCCACCTCCCCACCCCCCAAATTGGGTGTCTGTGAGGAGAAATAGTACGGCCATTCCACTTATGCTGGTGTTTGGCAGCTCAGAAAATTTTGAACTGTGCGTTTTCTGCCTGATAGTTCAGGAGTATGAAATGGAAACAAAGTAAGTAGGCCATCTTTCCCCTCCCCGCCTTCCCTTTCAGGACCCAGCACATTTTGACAGAAGATTATTCACAAAAGATGGAGAGCCTGCTGTGAGAAGAATCATTCATCTCTGCTTTGTGCCTGCCTGTGGAAGGACAGAATTACACTAATTCTCCCAAGATTGCCTCTGAAAGTTTGGTATCGTGTGCATCTTTCAGTCTGGCTGTGTGTTTAGTATGCGGATTCTACCTCTTCACTAATGAGAGGGAGAATGGGAACCCAGGGCAGCCCTGTGAAGAGCTATGATTATCTGCTCAAGTTCTTGTTGGTTGGTGACAGTGATGTTGGCAAAGGAGAAATCCTGGAGAGCCTTCAAGATGGAGCATCTGAATCGCCTTACGCATACAGTAATGGTAAGCAATCTTAATAAAAGCACTCTAGCCAATATCTTGCATTAATTGGGGTGTATTCCTCATTTCTAGGATGTAGTATTGTCTTGTTGTTTATGCAGTTTGGTCTCCATAACCTGAAAAATAACACTTTGCATAAAATAGCTAGAATAATAATTAAAAAAGCCTAACTAGCCTAGATCTTTCATGTTATTTGCTTTGCTGGATCTTGGTGTGGTGTTGTATTTTAGGGTATGTGTGTTGGAAAAGTTCAAATCAGCAGTGTCACATTAATGTGAAGGTTGTGACTTGGTTTCTGAAATTGCCTTGCAAATCTGCCTCCCAGTGTTGTGCTGTGGGAAATGATTCGATTACTGTTTTGGTGTACTTTGAAGTGTTGACTTAGAATTGCAAATCCTGCAGTGTTAAAAAGGTGGCTCAGAAGCACACAGCACTTCGTGTTGTTCAGACTTCAGGTGGTGGGAAAGAGAATCAAACCGTACTCTGTAGGACAATGGTTGGAGATCCAGTTTAAAACCTGATTACATTTTAAAGTGTGTGCCATGGAACAAGTTAGTTAGCTCAAAATTAATACCATTTCTGACTTGAGCAGGAGGAGTACATACTGTATCTAAATCTGACTCTTTTGCATAAAGTCTTAAGAATTTTTAAAGCCTCACAAGCCATTAACAGTTAACTAAGAGACAAGATGTAGCATTCCTGTATATTCTTCTGCTTCTTTGGATGGTAGTTAACATGTAACTCTGCCTGGCAGTAACTGTGTCCTGTAGTGATTTTTCAGTCTGTCAGAGCTCTAGCCATCTTAAACTCTGAATGACTGCCTGGGGGGCTTGACAGCAGAAAGGAAGCATCCGCACCAGCACTACTCCCAGGGCTTCAGCACTTGGCACATGACACCTACACTGAAAGCAACTGTATGTGAAGCTCAAAGTATACAGTGTGGAAGCAGACCTGCTTAAATGGGGCTGCCCCCAAGGAGTAGGAATGTCTCATGTTTTAGTAAAATGGGTTTACAGAAAGCTGACTATTCTGTGCTTTCTGCTCTTGCTACCTCCTAGAATCTCTTCTTCTCTGCCCCTGCCCCAATGTGTTCCACTTGCCAAGCTCACTTCTAATATTGTGAGCTTAGCTGAAGAGAAAAATAGCTGAAAAGGACAGGTCAGAAAATTAGGGAAGTAGGCATCAGGAGTAGTTGACACCTCTCATGCATGTACCTGCTTTGCTGGGGGCGGGGGGGAGGATTATCCAATACTAGAGGTGACTAGGACAGACCTAGGTTTTAACTAGCCAGCCTACTGTCATCACATGTTTTAATCTGGTGACGGTTTGACTTCCAGCTGCTCAGAGTCCTTGCTGGCCACAAAAATGTACTGTTCCAGTGGCTGCTTTAGCTGCTGTAGGTAGAAATGGTTGCATGAGAAGAGGCACGACTATGTAGAGCTGTGTTCAGGAGTCAGCTAGGGAATGAACAAAAGACTTGATGCCACTGACAAAAAACTTATTTAGGGAGCGTAAATGACATGATATTTCTCAAATATAGATCACATCTAAGTAAAAACCTCTAGTGATGCTTCAGAATAGCATTTTATGTAGATCATACAAAATCAGAATCAACTAAAAAAAAAAACTAATTACAGCAGTCTAGGCAAGAACTTTTGTCCACAGACAGTTTTTCCGTGTCATGTGGCCAAGCCAGTAAAGCGGGATGAGTGCCGCAACCCCAGAGTCGTCCACGACTGGACTTTACAGTCAGGGGTCCCTTTACCTTTACCTTTACCTTAGGCAAGAACTTAAAGATCTGAAATGGAACAGCAGCAGTCTTAACATTCTGGAAGGTCAAAAGCCTTTCAGAACAAAATCATTTTTGCAGGCTTCCAAAATAAACGGTGTCAGTACAACCTTTCATACTTGATCCTTTCTTATCCTCTGTTGAAACTGAAACACATTTTGGCTCTGGTATCAACCTGGAAGCTGTCTGCAGATAAACTCCGGCTCCCTCGGCCTATAGAGCGAGATGAGCGCGCAACCCCAGAGTCATCCGCAACTGGACCTAATGGTCGGGGTACCTTTACCTTTATCAGGATACTTAAGTTCTTTCAGATGTGATAACCACCAACTTAGAAGGCTTTTAAAAAGGATTAGACAAATTAATGGAGGATAATGCTAGTCATGATGGCTATATGCTACTTCCAGGATCAGAGGTTCCCTAGCTCTTACCAGCCACTGGGAAAAGCAGCAGGAGAAGACTTTTTATCCTTGTGTCTTACTTATGAGTTTTTGATAGGCATGTGCTCAATTACTGTGGGAAACGGGATGCTGCACTGGATAGGGCTTTAGTTTGATCCAGCAGGGCTCTTCTTATGTTCATAGCTGATATTTACTTTACAGTTAGCCTTTATCTGTGGTCATTGCTGCTAGGTTTTTGAACTGGCAGCAGTAGTGCTGCACCCGAAGTACAAAATTTAAACATACCAAGGCTCTTGGCCAAAACCTAGAAATATCTGAACACATTCTATTTAAACAGATGTTCTGTTGTGCTGTCCATTCCTCGCCTTTAATGCAATTTTATTTACAACATTAAATCACCCAGACCCGAACCAATTCTAGAGGCCGTTGCTTAAGAATCAGCTGAGGCCTGCTACATGAAATTGCTCATCATAATGTTGATACCATCAGTTTTGTAAAAGCTGTTGCTCTTTTGCAAGTATTGCTGTAATTTGGAGAAGAAATATTGCAACACTTGACTTGCATCACTTGGCACTAGAGCATCTACATTAGTTTTGACATTTCATGAAGGCCTAGAAAGTTGTTGCAGAGGAATGCAAAACTTGATCCCTCCAACCTCCCCCTTCTCCTCCTCCTTTCCCTCTCTCTCCCTCCCGGCAGTGTGCAAGTATTATCTCCTATTTGGATCAGATGTCTAAAGGGCATAGGCTGAATGGTTCATATGTAAATCTCATTCCATTAACAGCCAGCTCCTCCATAATGAAGGTTTTCCAGCTGATGTCTTCAAAACTATTCTGGTGAACCATTGCAAATGTGTCTTTCAATTGCAAGTAGTTGGGTTGTGAGGAGGAGCAACATGATGTATCATAAACCTTCACGTTTGAACTCTATTTGTTATCCAGCTGCTTATGTTAGGTGCTTGTCCTTATCATACACCTGATGATATGTCCTATTGTCTCTATTCAGTGTGCATGGTGTAGGAATGAGTGCTATAAAACCATCTTCCTCTTCTCTCTGTTGATTGACAACAGCCACAAATGGCAGTGCAGCTGCATGACCAATAGCTAAGTATTTGCAAGGAAACACAGAGCTGGGATCTTTATTATTATTATTATTATTATTATTATTATTATTAATTCAGTTTCTTACCTATTCTTCACCTCAGTCTCCCAGAGTGGGTTCAGTTTAAAACAATTGCAGTAATACATACAGTGCTTTTTTATATAAAAAAAATGTTTGGGGGTACATACATACATTATATAGATATGGTGTCAAAGACCAGGTTAAAGAAATGCATCTATTGTCCTTTCACATTTGCAGGCTTCAAAATGCTTCACTTCCTCATAATCAGTGTTAGCTGCTGTTCCAGGAACATAGCAAGCTGCTTTTTCCTCTTAGGCCATTGGAGAATCTAGCTCACCATTGTCTACACTGACTGGCAGCTACTCTCTGTGATTTTATACGAGGGTCTTCCCCAGCCCTACCTGGAGATACTAGGGATTGAATTGAGGCCTACTGCATACAAAGCATGTGCTCCACAACTGAGCAGTGGCATATCCCAAATCAGAATGGTTAAAGTGTGATTACATAAATCGTGATTCTGTTCTTCCTGTATCGGTACATGTAAATTAATGTATTCCAGAGTAAATGTAGATAAACTATTCCAGAGTTGTTCAAGTGGTCTGATTTGTGGATTCTGTTGCCTTGATCGTTGCTCCCCCTAAAATCCCTTTATGTGAGAATACAGTGTAAATAGTCTTTAAGCCTTCAGGATCTGGTAAACTCAGAGAAGGCCATTTATCCTGTGTTTAATGCAGCTCTGGGGGAACATGAGCTATATCAGTGCAACTAAGTTTAATATTGTGTTGACATGTTGAAGTTTGAAACCGTTATCCTCAGTTGTGAAAAAATGATCCTACCTTCTAAAAAGTTTAGAATAATCAATGGGGGGTCATGAGTATTGAAGGTTAACTGTTCTTTTCTAGTTTCTTGGTTTTGACCCTGTTGAATTTCCCCATCCCCTCTTCATGTGTAAGCATGTAACTTGCAGAGATCAATTTATTACTTAAAGATAAAAGATAAAGAGGGCATTTCATGTCAGAGGCATCATGTCTGAGAAGGCTCCCTCTCCTGAAGGTGTGGGCCTTATATGATGAATAAATGACTCATGCAAGCTCAGATGGAAGAATTTCATTCTCCAAGCCCTTATTGGTAACTTGCAGGACTAACCCAGTGGTTTAAAATATTTTTCCTGGCCTTTATAAATTCAAGGTTTTAAAATGGAAGACAGGTAAAGCAGGAGATTCATTCCAAGTTCATTGGACAAAGTTCCAACAATCAGCTGCTGCCTCTTGGAGCTTGTTTTTTTCCCTTCATTCCCCCTCCTGCCTTTCCCTTTTGTAAGCAGTATGCCATTAATATGATAAATACTTTTAAAAGACACTTTAGATACATGAGTAGGCAGACTAATATTTACCCTTTGAGTGCTTTGAAGAAGTGTCATTTTGTCTTTTTAGACACCCTTTTATGAAGCTAATACCAAGGATATTTTGACACTTTTACACGTGATGAGATGGGACAAAAGATTGTAAATAAAGCCATGTTGTCTATATTTTCAAACAGGGGCAAAATGAATCAACAGGGATTCAGTGGAACATCATAGAGCACACTACTAAAAGCTTTTAGCAATTGGATGGTGGTGTTCTACACCAAGTCTGGAAGAATTTCTTTGGCTGCCCACTCTTCCAAGCCAAATAACAGTTTGGGATCCAAATACCTGAAGGAACACCTCTCCCTGTATTAATCTGCCTATGCCTTAAGAGCTCCAGAGGAAGCTTTTCTTTGCATTCCATTGTTAGGGGAAGTGTTCTCTGTGGTGGCACATCACTATACAAGCATGGCAGACACCAGTGTTCAAATTTTCTTAGTTGGGCATCTTAAAGTTTTCTTTGTGTTTGCTTCAGCTCCCTTTTGTTTTTGTTTTTTTTATAAGCTTTGTTCTGTTTCTTTCTGTTTTTGTCTATAAGTTGGTGGCTTAATTTTGTGCTGAACCCACCCTGAGGGATATTTATATGAAGGCAGTTCTTCTCCAATTCTAATAGCAGTCTCTCCAAGGAAATATTTATCTATGGTTTAGCTTGGATAGCTTTCACATAATAGCTAAAGAATCTGGAGTTCACACCAGATTTCTGTGTCTTGGTTCTCTTGAATTGCTTTTTACTACCTTTGTGCTATTCTGTCAAGGCCTCTTACTCAGAAGCAACATTCCTTTAGAATAATATGTACCCAATTCTCCATTTTATCGTTCCTCCATCATACTCAAGCTAACTCCAAATGTTTTATGAGAACACTATAAAGGGAATTTAGCTTAACCTCAGGTGGTCCTCTGAGGTTAATTTGAGGAGTGGCCCATTGGTTCAAGGGCAAGCAGTTATCTCTACATGAGGATAAGCTGTTGACTTCTGCAAATATTTTATAATCCTTGGGGCATATAATGACTCTTTCAGTGTGCAGCTGTTTTCAGTCATCTAGTGATTTTTTGTTTTAAACAAACCTCTGCATATAATACAAGGGTATGAACAGAATCTAGTTGTGATGGCTTTACCACCCATGATGCGGGGATACCAGTGCACATCTCAGCTGAACTGATATTGGGTTTGAGTGGCCCTGGTGAGCTTATCTGAGGGCAGGCAACTGTGCACCAAACAGCTGGGGGAGCAGCTACCATTTTCATTTCCCACAATTCCACCAAAGCATCATTGCTAGACTATAATAAGCTTTTATCTGCTGTCAACTTGTGAATTCCAAAGTAATCTGACAGTGCACAAGCATCTTGGACCTAAGTAGGAGAGAAGCCCCCACAGTAATTCCTTGGAAATGTAAAAATATTTACACTGATCCAGAAGATATTAAATGTCTTGGGAAATAGGGAAATGGAGTGGTTAGTTATGCCCACTGCCCCAAAGTTAATGGATTAAATAACAGTGTTCTTACCTCTTTACTAGTATTGATTTGTTGTGCTTTTCTGCATAAAACGTATCAGAACCTGGATTATTGAAACTAGAGGCTTCCAAAATGCATTTTCTTCCATGTTATTACTTTAGCTGACTACAAAATTGTGTTGAAATTAAAATAAAACTTATCCTTGAAGAGGGCAACCAATAAAGGAATAATAGACATACCTTGTCAATTAGAGAAAATTAAATGCATTGTTGTAATGTGACAGGTTTTATTATTAGTCACTAACTTTGAAAATGCTGCATTTTGTAGGACTGCAGTTTCAATATCTCTTGTGTTTAAGACTGTGGATATCTACAGTCAGCTTCAGACTTCTATAATCCGGCTTTCCTACATGTCTTTTCTTTAATGGCACTTTTCTTTCTAGTGATAAGCGTGAAATTCTGCTTGCAAGAGGTTTTTGCAGGCAGTGTAAAACACTTTTCAGAAAGCTGCATAGATACCAGAGTACACTGATGTGTATTGTCCTTTGCAGCCTCAGTTTGAGGTTCAAAGGTAAACCCTGTACATGTTCTCCTCCCCACAGAAATTGTACTCCTTTGCTGTTCACTTTCAAAGAATGGTGGGTGAGCAGACTGTAAAGCCACTTGCCCCAGCCACATGCTGTAAGGAAGATATCTGAGCAAAGTGCTGTTAGCTTCCTCAAATAAAAATGTTAAGGCCTGAAAAATATCTCTGCCCACTTCTTTCCCATTTCCCCCCTCCATCTTCACATCTTTGTCATGCAGCTTAGAGCATGTAGCTGTTAGGAAGGGAAGGATTAAATGGTCTTTGTCCCAATTGCCTGGAATATAAAATGCACACAACAGGCTGTAAATTGTGTTCATTACCCCAAGCAGCCATGATCCCCATGTGAACTCCTGTGATGCATACAATTGCTGAACAGGGATTGAGGAGCCTCAGGGAACATTATGTAAGGAGGCAGCCCAGATGGGGCTGTTTTTAACCTCTCTTTTTCTTGCTGTCATGTACTGTGAAGAAGCTCACTGTTACAGACACACTAAAAGAACTTGAGCTACTTAACTGGAAGTTTTGAGGTGTCCCCTATGTACTCTAATGGTGTACTCTACTGCTGGAGCAGGTAGCTAAAGAATATTTGGCCCAGCTAGCTTACTACATGTGTCCAGGGAATGAGGTGGTGAAGTTCATCACTTCAATGGTGATGTCATCACGTCTTGAATGGGGTACATCTGTTTGGTGCAGGGGTAGAAAGACATTGAGATCCCTCCCCTTGTGCTGCAAAGAAACTTCTGTGGCAAACTCATTGGGGTCTATAGGGTTTGCTAGGTAATTAAAGTACTTGAAATAGGTTGGTGCCTCTTTATTGACATTTCTTTTGGTTTGAAGTTGGTAAGCTATCAAGTTACTTCATATATCCAATCAACTAGTTCTTTAGCAACAAAACCTCTTCACTCTTCTGGGTCTTCTCTATGCAGCCATGAACTTCACTAATCAAAGATAATATCCTGTTATTGTTCAATTTGACTATTACTTTGGATTATACCTTCCAGGATGAATGGCAGAGGGCAGGGTAGGTAGGTATGTTTACTCCTTCATGTGACTTATGCCTCTATTGTCAAATCATAGCTACCCCCAAATTCACATGAATCTGTCTCAGAACAGCTGATTATATAAATTATGTAAACAATTGAGTTAGTGGCAGGCTCTTACAACTTTGGTTTTATGCAGAGTAAACTTGATTATGTATCTCTCAGTGTGTATACACACACAGACAAATAAATGTTTCTCACTTTCCACATGCACGCGCGCCCCCCCAAAAAACTCTTCCTCTACAGTGGTACCTCGGTTGTAAAACGTAATCCGTTCCGGAAAACCGTTCGTTCAACTTCCGAAACATCTGACAACCAAGGTGCAATGGGCGGTCGGCAAATTCCATTGAGAAAATGGAGAAACATGCCTCGAAGCCGTTCAACTTCTGAGGCACGTTCAAAAACAGAAGCATTCACTTCCAGAGGTTCTGATTCATTTGGCTTCCAAAATGCTTGAAAACCAAGCTTCCACTGTATAGCTTTTGCCATCCGAATTAAGCTGTATTGTTCATCTTTTCTTACTGGTAATGTATACCAGTGTCAAAATCTTTGAAAATGAAACACCAATAATCTGTTTCAGCTGAACTGGTGCTCCAACTATGGTCAAATTCATTGCTTAGGAACTGAAGGAAGGAAGCTTTTGTGGTTCTGTTAAGAATTGGATATAGAGTCACTATTCATTAGCATCTGTTGAGGCAGGAGTGCCCACCCATGCACATACTTTGTAGTGTTTCTCTCAGTGTTAAGACACATCTTGCTGTAATGTCTTATAGTTTGAAGTGCACAACAGACCTTTCTTCATACCCAGTTCCATACTCAATTCTGGATGACAGTATTGATCTTCAAGCCTTACTCAAGTTTCTGAGCTGTGTTGGCTGGCCAGCCTCTGAAGAGTGTCTGAATTATTGGGTGCACATTATTGATGAAAGAACTCACTTGCTTTTGTAACAAGTCTAGTATGCAGCACAGTATGGTCAAGATGCTGCTGTGCCATAAACGTCAATATTTGTCAGCTTTTAAATAATCCTTCCTTCAAAATTCATGGCAACAAACAAATAAGAAATTATACACACACAGGGGGAGAGAGAGAGAGAGATGTTTGTATGCAGTTAAACACTGAAACATTATTTAAATTTGGTGGATTGGTATTTTTTAAACTAAAATTGCTAGCAACTGATGGCCTTCACACTCTGGCAGAAGGGGTGGGGCAGGTCTCTCTAGGCAGGAAATTCCAAAGTCTGGGTATGCACACTCAAAAAGACCCTGCTCTAGTCCTAATCAACCATGATTTTGGAACACATAAAAATACAGTGGTACCTTGGTTTATGAACTTAATTCATTCCAGAAGTCCGTTCTTAAACCGAAACCATTCTTAAATCAAGGCATTCTTTCCCTAATGAGGCTTCCCACTGCCGGTGCCCTTCTACCGTTCGGCTTCTGTTTGTACACCAAGATAAAGTTCATAGACCGGGACACTACATCCGGTTTTGCAGAGTTCATAAACCGAATAGTTCATAAACAGGGCTGTTTTTAAACCAAGGTACCACTGTACCCAGCTACCTACTTGGCCATGGGTTATAACTGCAGACATCTCTGAACAGAAACGCAGGGTTCAGGAGAAAGCATGAAGTCATAATAGCCTGTAGTCTGTTCCATTAGTGGTGGAGAGGAGGGAGTTCCTTGTCTGACACAGTGCTCTGTAAAGCTTCTGGAACAGGCCTCCATCGCCTTCCAGAAGACAACTGCTTCACACCTGGTGTTTTTACCTGGCTGGAATGTGTCCTTGAAATCTCAGGATGGCTGTTGCGTGCCATGATGGAGTACAGAGAGATGTGTCAGTGTATGTAGGTACTACCCTACATTACAAAAGTAAAGCTTACATTTGTTGCCCTGGGCACACTTGCTTCTGACCCTGCCTGCCACTGGCATGTGACCCATGGAACATTTCCCAGAAGGGAGTGCAACCCTTGGGCTGAAAAAGGTTCCCCATATTTAGATACTTGAAAAAAATATTTGAGAATATCTGACAAGCTAGCTGGTGGGTGTTCTCTCTTGATGAGTGATATGCCTGCTCAGTGCTACTCCAGTGTGTGTTCCTTATTCCCAGTTGTTGTTGTTTAAGTAAAATTACCCTAACGAGCAAAGGAAAATGTAAGGAAATGGATAAGAGGGGGGATAAATAAGCAACCAGTATTCATTTGGTTTCATTTTGCAGTCCATGGAACCTCATAAAGACAAAAGCTAACTATAGGCAAAATTACTAAACCATCCTTGAGTGTTGTGATTAGAAACTTTGAATCATCCTTAAACACCTCTCTATTAAAGTGGCAAGTCTATGCATTTCAGACTCCCTGTAGCAGCAGAGGATGCTGCTTCCTGTTGTTCCAAGCAAATCCTGTTTCAAGTACCGTGGGGAACAAACATCCTTTTACAGCCCATATGTTGCTGTATTCATTTCCTTGTAGAATACAATCATTATGTAGGAGAATGTTTTCCAACTAGTAGTTGTCTGAAGTATGGTATCAGAGTAATATGTTGAAGTTTTCTATTGAAATATTGATCTGATGCTTCAAACTTCTTATCCTTGTCTCTCTATATTAGTGCAGAGTGCAGAGAAGTATATATCTAGATAAGGGTTGGTGCCTTCAGTAAGCCTTTGTGGAATGCATAGTTTATTAAATGTAAATGATAGCTTTCATACTCCAATCCTGTCTATATAATAAAACAAATCCAATATATAAGTAATAACAGTACTAGAGTATAATTTATAGACTTACTCAAATTCATGAATATGCCTTCTGGTCATAAGATGGATCTTTTAATTATGCATCTACTTTATTTGGCTCCTTTACTTCTTTATAACTCACCCTTCTGTAAGAATAAGGAGGCTTAATGATGAAAATAAACAGCATCAAAAACAAAAATAAAACCACCATACAAAATACAGCAAAACAATAGCAAGCACGACATTATAGAAATGGTGTCACTCCTACTACTACCTGGCCTGCCAGAACAAATAGATTGTGAACTGCCTCTTGAATGAATTTGGTGTGGGACTATGACTGCTGTCCTTGTAGACTAAGGATTGTGAACATAATATGAGTGATGCTGAAAGAAGGAAGAGTAGCAGAATCCCTTCCTATCTACCTGATCCCGAAACTATTTGACAGTTGGTTTGAGGCTGTCCTGAAGAACCTAATGAGCCGTGCTGGATCACACCAAAAGGCCTGTTTAGTCAAACTTCTTGTTGAAACAGGTGCTTGTGGAAAGCCTGCAAGCATACACAAGTGCAACAGCATTCTCCCCATGTGTTTTCCAGCAGCAGGTAAACACAGTGCTAGTAGCCATTGATATACAATTGTTTTCATGTATTTGAGGATTACACTTAAAATTATCCAAGTGTAGAGGCTAATCTTGGGGGAAAGTTACAATTCAGATTCAAGTTCTTCAATAACTTTCAGATGGATGCCATTCAGATCCGGTTATTTGTCAATTCTTAATTTGTCAGTAAGGCGTAGAATTTCAACTCTTGGCAGTGCTTAACAACACAAACTCACCAACAGCATACAATTCAATAAGGCTAACTTAACCCAACAACTCCCCCCACAATGCACAAACAAATCTCACTGCAGCCAACCAAAGACAATCAACAACACTCTAGACCACTCCGACCTCTCTCACCACTAAGGAAACATAACAAGCGAATAGAAAGAGAACCTACCCAAGTGACACTGACACAAAACCCCACACATACACTAAAAGAACATAAGCTTTACCACCACCCCCTCTCTTCTGCCCCCCTTTTCTTCCCAACCCTATACTGCATATAGCACTAATGTCTCAAAACAAATGTAACTGATCTGCAGAAAGAAACAATACATATGCTTTTATAAACGAGGAAAATCTTTAATAATTTTTTTTTAAAAAAAAAAAAAACCTTGGCAATGCTATTTTCCTCAGTTCCTCCGAATTGCTCCCTGATAAATTTAATTCTGGTGCTGGGATCTGCTCTACATCTTATGCTGTAAAGGCAGATGCAAAGAATCCATTCATGGAAATCCTCTTTTCCTCCTTTAGCATACCTTTGACTACTTATTTGTCCAATCAGCTTCCATGCTTCTAATGTATTTAAAGTTAGTGTTATTTGCTCTTTGTTTTTAGTGATGTGCATCTCAATTTCTTTTTTTGCACCCCTTATTGCATTTGCTTGCATTTCTTTTGCCAAAATTTGTCTTCCTTTTTGCTCTCCTCATTTTCCTTTCTCTCATAGCTTCCTTGCCTCTACTTGTTAACTATTCTGGCATCCTCTTGGCTCTGGTTGTACCTTTTCCATCAGCAGGTATAAGGGAAGAAAATAAGAACCACAAAAATGAACATGGCATGAGTTTGTATTACCTCTTGTAAAATTTGGTGGTGGATAAACACGAAAATCATTGCTAATACTGTACCAGAATCACTAGAAACACTTCTATTTAGAACTAGATGAAATTATCAAACAAAGAAGAGGCACCTTATATCTAGCACCAGACTGGCCACCTTATCGGTACACAACTAATAATAGGATCATAGCTGCAAAGTTGAGTAGCTTAGTTCTCAAATTCTTTATGTATAGATACAAAGCACTAGATATACTTCAGCCAATAAATACCAGGAAAAATAATGATGATAACATGGTGTATTTGGGGGTGGGTGGGTGATGGTGGCTATCATATGAGCCTCTGGCCTGATCTAGCAAGCTGTTCCCATATTGTACCAGCATGGCATGTGACTCTGATGTGAGTGTACATTAGTTATATACCCCACCTTTCACCTTAAGAAGCTCAAAGTGGTGTGCACAACACAGTTATCTGTGCAACAGTTGATGCAATACAACAGTTCAAGAAAGTTGATGAGAGTAGAAAAGCTGACCCAGCAGGCAAAGGGTTGGGCTAGAATGTATTTGCATGGAGTGCTTTATGTGAGTATCATTCAAAAATGTTTATTCCGCTACAGTATCTGTAGTCTGAAATAGTAATCTATTCTAGACTTCATTCCAATCTAATTCTTCTGCATGGGTAGATCCACTTAAACACCTATCTGTTAGCCTGTGCTTATTTAACTTTATACTGTGAGATTTGTAGAGCTAGTAGTCAACATACTCTTGCACTTGATCTGCTTTTTCTCCACTCTTTCCTGCCTCCCGGTTCATAGTCATATACTATCCAGCTTGTGGATCACAATACAGTTGTTGTTTGTTTATTTATTTAAATGATTTATAAGCTGCCCTTCATAAAGTAAACAATCTCAGGGCAGGGTACATTGAAACTAATGAAACATATTCTGAGATAAAACATGTTTTCTCCCTCCAGCCATTTGCCTTTTTTCATTTCTATAACTGCAAGGTGGTTGTCTGTGGGCATTCCACATATATAGTGATAACTGAAACGTCCCTTAGGCTGTATCTTCAGGTTTCTGATGAGTGAATGTGTGTGTGTCAAGTGATAAGGAAATACTGACAGCTGTTTCTGTACGTCACTTGGGTCAGCTGGTTTGTATGATCTTACATGTTGGTGGTTTATATAACAAAATTTTAGAGATGAGGAAAACAAAGTTAACAAATTGCCTACTATTGTTCTTTTCTCACATTTAAGTGGCTTTAAAATAAATGAATATTTAATGTATTTTTGTTGCTTTTGTTATCTACTCATGCTGGCTTCTGTTATGTAGACTGAAAAGGTACCTTTCTGAAATACTCATGCTGTCTGAGAGCCAGTGTGGTGTAGTGGTTAAGAGCGGTAGATTCGTAATCTGGGGAACCGGGTTCGCGTCTCCGCTCCTCCACATGCAGCTGCTGGGTGACCTTGGGCTAGTCACACTTCTCTGAAGTCTCTCAGCCCCACTCACCTCACAGAGTGTTTGTTGTGGGGGAGGAAGGGAAAGGAGAATGTTAGCCGCTTTGAGACTCCTTCGGGTAGTGATAAAGCGGGATATCAAATCCAAACTCTTCTTCTCTTCTTCTTAAGTCCACATTGTGTCTAAGGGAAGGCACATATGTTAAATTTGTGTTAACACATATGTATGCTTCTTGGGAAACAGGGATTGCCTGCAGCTGCTTGTCAAGCTTGCAGTCAGTGGCAAATGTAAGTTTGCTGCCATGTAATGTATGCATTGACTTATGTGGCTGTTTTTGTAAGAATATATTTAAGGAACTTAAAGTACAGTAGCTTATAACCACTTATGTTGATGTGTTGTTCAGAACTTTGTGTATTCAGGTATATGGCCCACAACAAATACAGTGCTGTGGTCTCTAAAATACCTAAAATGGGTCAAAGAAACATCAACTTGCTTAGAGGAATCTTCAGCAAATATTCTGTTACTTCTCCTGTGCCTTATGCAAGTCTACAGATTGCTGATATCCTAAGCATTCACATCTACCAATGTTGTTTTGTAAGGTCGTCGATATTTCAGTGAGCTCTAGTTACGGCCAAACTATATCTTCTTATGAAGTGAAGCTGTGGTCCATCAGCTGTTGCTTCCTCCTCCTTTTACAATACAAAACAAACCATTATATGAAAGTAAAGCTGCTGTTAATGTCCCTGTGATGACAGGATTTATTGTGAGGCAAGAATCCTAGTGCATTAGCACTTTTCTCCAGAGGCTGTTGTGGATGAGCCTCTTGGCTTATTCTCTGTCATCTGCAAGTCCCAAATTCAATCCCAGATCTGCCTCCAGGGTCCTGGAACAGTGCACCTTCTGGTCTGATTATGTCTGGTATTTGAACAGCAATCTGCTGATTTTAAAAAGCCAGTTATACTTGCATTTATTTTAAAAATGTACTTACTGATTTATTTGTGTCTACCTAAATGACTAATTCAAAAGAACTAATTCTAATAGTCTTTTCATAACTCCTGGTGGTGTATCTTGTTGTAGGGGCTTTGTCAGACAATGTTACAAGTCTACCCCTGTTACTGGAAATGCACATTTTTATTATCTAAAATGCTCTGAGTAGGGTTTTTTGTTTGTAATTATGGGATATGACTACTTTAATACTTTAACAATCACAACATCTGCTAGTGAAAATAAGATTACAAATAAATGTAAACATCCCAAACTACCAGCAAATAAAGTACTAGACCCCAGTGACTTTCCCTAATAGAAAATTCTTGTAGCCCCTTCTGGAAGCAATCGGAAAGGTGCTCTGGCAGATCTTTGGGAAGTCATTTAACAGCCCCAAGGCGACCATTGAAATAACTCATCCAATGATGGGACCTGAAACAAGGCACTAAATGCTGATTTTAATTATATAGGAGGCTGGTACTTACAGGGAGAAGCAGTCCCATATATCTTTCTTCTATGGCGATCACTCATAGCCAAGTAAGATTGTCTTCCATGAAAACGGTCTTAACAGTGAGTCCGTAAGTGACTGTGGAAGCCAATTCTGATAATAATTACTTTTCAATTACAATCCAAAAATAACCTCATTATAACAATACCAATTTATAATACAATTACTAATACCAGTCGTTCAAATACTGAATTATATACAGTGGTACCTTGGGTTAAGTACTTAATTCGTTCCAGAGGTCCATTCTTAACCTGAAACTGTTCTTAACCTGAAGCACCACTTTAGCTAATGGGGCCGCCCGCTGCTGCCGCCGCGCAATTTCTGTTCTCTTCCTGAAGCAAACTTCTTAACCCGAGGTAATATTTCTGGGTTAGCGGAGTCTGTAACCTGAAGCGTATGTAACCCGAGGTACCACTGTAATTTAGATAAGGTGGTTTGATGGTTTTCTTTATTTCTGCATTCCAAAATCTTGTTGTTGTTGTTTAGACGTTTAGTCGTGTCCGACTCTTCGTGACCCCATGGACCAGAGCATGCTAGGCACTCCTGTCTTCCACTGCCTCCCACAGTTTGGTCAAACTCATGCTGGTAGCTTCGAGAACACTATCCAACCATCTCGTCCTCTGTCGTCCCCTTCTCCTTGTGCCCTCCATCTTTCCCAACATCAGGGTCTTTTCCAGGGAGTCTCTCTTCTCATGAGGTGGCCAAAGTATTGGAGCCTCAGCTTCTGGATCTGTCCTTCCAGTGAGCACTCAGGGCTGATTTCCTTAAGAATGGATAGGTTTGATCCCACTGTGAATGGTTCATTTTGAGAGCCATTGTAAGCAGTCCCATAAATATGTGGGTCCAAGGGTATGAAGAGTTAGATTCTAACAATCAGCTGCTTGTCAGGGCTTGCAGGGGTGAAAACAAGTCACCTGATGTCATTGTGATGCCAGGCGATTGACAGATATCTTCGCACCCTGTCAGTTGACCTGCAAGCGGGGAGGGACTTTGAATTGATACCGGAAGCTAACTGGTATTCAGGATAATCATAGTGGGGTTGGTTGCATATGCTCCTGCCACTCTCCATGCTCTAGGAGATGAACATTTTGTACTAGCTGAAGTTTCTAAGCTGTCTTAAAGGCAGCCCATGTGGAACACATTACCATAATTCAGAGCTTTCCAAACTGTGTGTCGTGACACATTAGTGTGTTGGCTGCAGTGTCTGGGTGTGTCGTGCAATATGTGACCATATATCTTATAAGGGGTTAGTTTTACCTCTGGTTTGCTAGTAAAACTGAATTACTGTGTTGCAAAATGATGCATATCTAAAATGTGTGTCACCAACATGAGAAGTTTGGAAAGCTCTGCCATAGTTGGTCTAAGAAGTTAGAAGAATTGGAGTTTGGGGAAAGTTATTCCTTCTTCAATAATGGAGTGTGGTCTATAGCTGTTACCAGTTCTTGTCACGGGCATCTTCTGCCTCTACTTCAGGGGTGTCTTATAGTCCAAGAGGGCATACAGGCAATGAAACTGTTCTAATGAGCTAATACCAGGTCTATCATTCTCTTGCTGGATCACTGTTTACTGTCTTTGGTTTTTTATATTGTGTATAAACTCCTTTAGCCTTTACAAGACAGCATAATAGCTGGATCTATTATTTTCCCAATGTGGGAGCTTCCTGTGCAAATAGTGACTCTGTTTTGCCTCATATGTAATGCAGCCTTTGAAACACAGTGTTGTTAATTGTCAACAGATTGAGCAAAGTACAATGTAAACAGATCATAAGAACAACTTTGAGATGGGCAGCTGCAGGTGACCATTTTCCTTTTTCCTTATATAGATACAACTGAAAGCTTGCCAAGAATTGAGATTATTACTTGACTACAGCAAACATAGGTGTAGGGCCTGGTAGATGCAATAACTTTAAGAGTTGCTGGGTGTATTTGCGCATGAACAGATTCACAACCTTGTGCTTATGACTTTTGCTTTAGTTGTGCTAAAAGTTGGTAAATAACAATACGTATAAAGAGCTTAAAGGGCCCCAAAGTCTTAATAAACTAACTCCTGTTTAATTACAAATTCAGTATGACTAGAGAAGCAGAGTTGGAATGTGGGCTAAGCTGAAAACAGCTCAGACCGGTTTTCTGTGCCTTGCCAATGCAGCAGTTCCAGCAGGATATGGACAACATCATTGGTGTTCAATGCAGTGCCTGCATTCCTACCTTGCCCTCTAGATATGTAGTTACCAAACAGAGTTTCATACTTGGTGGATAACTAAGGCCCAATTCTGACTTTAATTTCTTGGTATCCTTTTGGGACAGACATAGGGAAACAGAGAATTGCTACAGGCATGAGAGTTCCTCGTGCTCCAGCAGTGATTAGACACACAAATCTTGGTCCACTAGATTCAGAACAGGCAAAAAAGGAAGTGTGAAATAACACATTCACTACTATATGATGTGTTGATGGCCACTAACTTGAATCCTTATTTAAAGGGTTATAAACAAATGATTGAGGAGACCTTTGTTGACATTTTTAACCATGATCATTAAATGATACTTGCATGTTCATAGACAATATTCCACTGAAAACTAATTGCTTGAATGGGAAGGGATAACTGCTTTCAAGTCCTGATTGATGGATTTCCAGCGGCATCTGGCCATTGTCAGCACAGTGAAATCCATTACACTTCATTACTGGATGGGCCCCATTATATTACTGAATCAGGCACCCTGCCGGAGGGTGTAAAGCCAGGGCTGCCCTGCTACAGGCACAGGGCTCTACTCCTTGCCAGCTTTCTACCATGTGCACACGATACCACGACTGCAGACCAGCTTCTGCCTTCCAACTTGGTCAGAGAACCCCTCCCACAATCAACTGGCAGCTGAATATGGGCTGTAGGAGTGGAGACAGCAGTGACACCTGCTGGACCCTGGACTCCCCATTCAGTGAAGGCTCAAATCCAGCAGGAAGAAATCCATCAGATGATGCTCTTGTGATCATGACTTATAAGCAGGGATGTTGCAAGAGTGTTTAGCAGAGGAGTTTGATGGGGATGCCCAGAGTGCTGTCTTACAGTGTCTTACAGTGTGACCTGAAACACCTGTGCTATGTTTGTCTTCCTGACTGAGAACATGGAAAACTACACCTGCAGCAAGTGCAAACTGGTTGCCTTGCTGGAAGAGAAGATATAGCAACTTGAGGCCCTCCTATCCACACTTCATGCTATCGGGCAAGATGAAGAAATTCTTGCTAGACCAGAGTGTACTGTCCTGGAATAGAGATGCAGGTAGAGTGCCCTTAGGGGGGAGGAAGATCTCCCAATGCAGGAGACGAACCCCAGGAGGAACAAAAAAGCAGGACTGTCGGGAGCTATGCCATGTCAAGGGTCTGGAAACAAAACCCTATGAGGAACTGTTGAGGAAATTGGGTATGTTTAGCCTGGGAAAGAGGAGACTGAAAGAAGATATGATAGCCATCTTCAAATATCTAAAGAGCTGTTACATGGAAGATGGAGCAAGCTTGTTTTCTTCTGCTCCAGAGGCTAGGTCCTGAATCAATGGCTTCAAGTTACAAGAAAGGAGATTCTGACTAAACCTAAGTAAGAACTTTCTGACGGTAAGGGTTGTTTGACAATGGAACAGACTCCCTCGGTAGGTGGTGGACTCTCCTTCCTTGGAGGTTTTTAAGTAGAGGTTGGATGGCCATCTGTCATGCATATTTAGTTTGAGATTCCTGCATTGCAGGCGGTTAGACTAGATGACATTCAGGCTCTCTTCCAACTATACAATGATACGGTTCTATGATTCTATTATTATGGTTTAGCATTATAATTAAAACTTAATATTTTTCAAAGCCAGGGTTCAAATCCCTACCCATTGGATGACCTTGGGCCAGTTACTGTTTCAGCCAAACTTACCTCACAGGATTGTTGTGAGAATGAAATTGGGAGGGGGAGAACCATGTACACCATCTTTTGTTCCTTGGAGGAAAAGAAGAATATAGATGTAAGAAATAAACATTTGCAACCATAGCTTAGAAAGAAATATGTTTTTCCATTTGTCTGTTGGTAGTTAACAACTTATCAGGCCCAGGGCTTTTTCATTTAGCACCAACCTGCAACATTAAAACAACTTTTATCATACTCTTATATCTTGTTAGTCTCTTTCTCTGTGCCTTGTTTTGTGCTCTCTCCTAATTTTTTGTCTTTTGCTCTCTCTCCCCTTCTTCCCATCTCTTAAATGATCATGGATCTGCTGCAGTGACCCATATTTGGATGGAGCATAGCCCCATTGTGTCTTCCACATAGCTAGACACATTAAACCACATTTGTGTAATTTCCTGCCACTGAATTGAGCCTGGCATGCCAGACATGAAGCCACTTTGGCCTAGTGGGTGGAGAGCTGGACTAGAACCTGGGAGGCCAGAATTCAAATTCCGACTCCATCATGAAGCTCAGCCTAGCCAACAAGGTTGTTGGGTTGAAACTGAGAATGCGGGGACAGTATATGTTGCCTAAAGCCTCATTGAAGGAAAAGTGGGATATAAATGTAATAGTAAATAAATGGTAAAATGGTAAACTTTTTTGTTTTCATGCCTGAGACTGCAACATTTTCAGGCATCTGATAGGCTACAATTACGTGGCTAGTGGTTTGCATTTTATCTTAGAGTGTCATGTTGGGTAGACCTGCTATAAGCAATAGAATCAAACTGGTTTGTACATTGTCCACCAACAGAGCATATCCATGTGACTGAATGCTTGAACTTCAGTTTTTAATTTCATACTTTGATCCAATGGTCTTTCTCACCGAAAACTCTTTAATATGTAAATTCATAATGTCCAGCCCAGGGAGATGTGGATGGCACATAAACTAGAAACAGAGTAAATAACAAATCAAAAATGTAGCAATATAGTGAAATAAAGTAACACAACTCCTAATAAGATCAATCAACAGACTGGTGCTTCTCAGTATGCATATAAATATATGGATATTCACAGTTTGTTTGCTGAAGAAAACACCAATGTTTCCCTACAACTGTTGTAAAGATGGGAGTTTAAGGGGAGGCAGTTAAAGCACTCAGGTATTTAAAGGCTGACTTTCAGCAGTATCCCAAAAGCCTCTGTGCAATAGTGCCACCCAGTGGCACAAACATGTCAGTTTCTGCCTTATTCATTTGAAAGTTTGTTCAGTGTTATGTAACATACATGGTTGGGGCAGTTGAGCTGTACTCCACCTCATGAACTTGTCTGAACAAGCCTGATGATTTCAAAAGTGAAATACTTGCTGCTGAAATGAGTTCCTTTTTGTGATACGATTCCTTATGATACATTGTAATCAACTGTTTATAAAAGCTGAAGAGCGTTAGTGTTCTGGAATGCAAAGCAGAAGCAGAGGCTGGTTGCATCATTGACCCTGATGTCTAGTGTAATTGTGAAGGAGTTGCACTGACGGCCTTAATATTTTAAGATCAAGTAGTGATACTGCTGCTGGCCTGAGATTTGTATTATGGAAGCGTTGCATTCATGGACAGTCCAGCACTGTGAAGATTTACCTAAATAAGAAGGAAAGCCTTTCACACTGACTGGAACCTTTCCTTATATTTGCATAGGGTCAAACTATAAATTATGTTAATTGTATCATTGCAATTCTCGTCTACTTTTTCACATTTAAAGAGAAGATGCAAGGGGGTGGGGTTGGAACCATGGCACACAATGAGGGGATTTAGCTCTTCCCCTCATACCCCAAGGTATTGATTTCCCCAAGCTGCTAATAGGTTTGGAGAAAGGAAGCTTCATTTGGCACTAAAGGAAAGCTTTCACAATTAGCATCATGTCTGGCTTGGCCAATGATATCACTATGAATTAAGTCCGGCCCAAATAGTGACTGAAATACTATGAATTAAAAAGCAGCCAACCTGAAGGCCTAAAACTATTCCTTCCTAGGAAACTGAAATATTTGTTCAGCTTTGGGCTGGGCAGCTGCTTAGGAATTGGCAATAAATATTTTCTCTCTCTGCCAGGGCAAAGAACTGTGCTACCTTTCTATTGGTACATAAGGTAGCTACAGCAATGTATCTTCCAACGTGGGGGAGGCTGAATAAGGTTGCCCCATTTTTGTGACTTGTTGGGTTACTTCTGGGTTTGGGCCGGTGCTTGTATGTGTGGTTGCACACATATTGAATAAGCGTAATCAGTTGCTACCTGTATATTAAAAACAGCTTTAAAGAGTTCAATTACAAAAATAACAGAGTGGGCCCTGAAGATATACCATACTTTTCCATGTATAAGACAGGGTTTTTTTACTGGAAAATTATGTTTAAAATAGGGGGTTGTCTTATACATGGGTAGTGCCCAGGGGGGACATGGGATTGGTTGATGGCGCGAGCCAGAGATGGTCTGCAGAGTGTTATTGGTGTCTGCAGCAAGGGATGTTGTTGAGTGGGTGTCGCTGTGGCAATTGGGCAGGCAATAGGCTGCTTCTGCTGGTGAGGGGACAGACGTTAGGAAGCTGTTGCGACATGTGCGAGTGTTAGCGTCGGCCATGTGGGTGAATGATTTTTGGCAACACCTCCCCTAAAAAAAGTTCAAGAACTCTGTGCAATCCTCCACAAAAAAAAGCTCCACAACTCTGGGCAATCTCCCCCCATTTTCTTAATTTTTAGTCCCCCAAAATAGGAGTCATCTTATACATGGGGGTATGTTATACACGGAAAAGTACGGTACATCTCAGATTGAGCCTGAGGATTTTTAATCAATGGCTGTAAGTTGCTTTTTTTCTGTAAACAAAAGTAGTCAGGTTGTCTTGTCAAACAGGGTTTTAATAGAAATGACAATATAAAACAAAATCTTTATTTTACATTCTAAGAATATATGTGAACTGTTGTAAGTCATGTGGGAGTTTGCCAATGCAGGTGTGCAACTTAAAGGCTATTCTTTGGAAATAAATGTTTTAACATGTTTATTGGGGGATACTGTGGTAGGCTAAGTGCCCAGAATGTTCCAGAAGCATAGACTGCTCCTGGGCTGAACAGGAAGCAAATTTTCATTAACAGTTGGCAATCTGTAACTCAGGGTTGGCAGCCTGTGGCTAGATGACGACATGTGCCCTTAGCCTACTTTCATGTGACTGGAGCAGTGGGGAAGGGGATTATCAAAAGAGAAATGGCCTTGCCTACTTTCAGCTGTGGTTCCATCCACCACTGGCTTGTGTCCATCAACAGATTGCCTCCAATGGAATGCAGTCCCCACCCTTGTTATAACTTATTTGAGACCTGAGCTAGCTGTAGATACTAGATCAGGGGTAGCCAACATGGTGCTTCCCCAGATATTGTTTGACCTCATCTCCAGCCAGTGTAAGCTATGGTCAGGGAAGATGGGAGGTGTGGTTCCACAGCAGCTGGAGGGCACCACACTGGCAACTTGCACACTAGATAGTTGGAGGATATTAAAATAGGAGTGTGTCGCCAACTATACTGGCGAGACACAGGACAGAGTTTTCTGGAGTTAGGGCTGCATCCCAGTAGTACTTGGTTGGCTGGCATCCATCTGTCACTAGACAATGGAGGAGTGCGCCTTCGGGGGTGAAGTAATAATAATAATAATAATAATTATTATTATTATTCATTATTTATACCCCGCCCATCTGGCTGAGTTTCCCCAGCCACTCTGGGCGGCTCCCAATCAAGTGTTAAAAAAACAGTACAGCGTTAAATATTAAAAACTTCCGTGAACAGGGCTGCCTTCAGATGTCTTTTAAAGATAGGATAGCTGCTTAGTCTAACCTTTGGAGAGTTACAGCATGTTTTGTTGCAGCTGAGGCAGATGAAGATAGCCAGTTCACTTTCCTTGAAAGAATTTTTCCTCCATGGTTCATTCTTTACAGAGAAAATGATATTTTTAGTGTGGGGTGTGTTTAGTGTGTTTGGATCAAGTTAAAGAAATCATATGTAAAAATTAGTTTTTGAAGCAAGCTGTTGAAAAGTTTACTATATATTTCAAAGTCAGACTGCTTATACTTAAAATCTTCATTTCTTATGCGACCTGATAGGTTTGAAAGCATGTGTCCCTGGAAACAGTGAATCAGTGGGATTTCTTTCTTCAATTAAAGGAAGTGGTGCTTGATCTCATGTGGGGCAGGACCAATTGCCAGCAGTCAGCTTCCTGTTTGAAGTTTGTTAACAATGGACTAATTAATATGCAGATTAAAGCATTGGGAGGAACAGGAAGAAAAGTGACCAGCTGAGACCTTATTAGTGCAATATCCAGGTCTCCAAGGATATTGACACAGATGTGTGGCAGGGAAATGAAATCTCTGTGTCAACACAATTGAATATGTATGAAGTATTTTGGTATACTTGCTAATAACAAAGCTGCCTAGTTAGAAATAGAACTCATTGACCTGGCATTTGACATGCCAATAGCGCTGAAAAGTTATTGTTAAGATGGCAGCAACATGACTATAGTATGAATTGTTTTTGAGAGTTGAATGCTACCTTTTGGTGGTGGATATGGCTGTGGCGGGAAGTTAAATAGCATTTCCATGCGCTCTGGCACTCGTCACAGTGTCCTGTTGTGCCAGAAGTAGTTTAGTCATGCTGGCCACGTGACCCGGAAAGCTGTCTGTGGACAAACACTGGCTTCCTCAGCCTGAAAAGAGAGACGAGCACTGCACCCCATAGTCACCTTTGACTGGACTTAACCATTCAGGGATCCTTTACCTTTACCTTATGGTTGTATGTCCTTTTGCTTGCATACAAAAACTGTAATGTAAAGCTGTAATGTGCAGATCTTGGCCACAATCAGATGCATCCTCTGAAATTAAGCTTCAAAATGCAGATATCAGACTCTGTTGAGGTCCATGTCCCAATGATCCACCAACAGGTTCTCTGGTCAGTTGCCGCTGCTAGCTCAAAATCTAGATTTTTTTGGGTGGCATTCAACTAATGAGTAGACCTTATGAAATGAATGAACATGTTTGAGTTAGGTCCTTAATTTCAGTGGGTCTAGTCTGAATGTAACATACCTGAATGCCACTCCTGGCCTTCACATTTCAGTAATAATACCTAGACAAAATACACTGTACTCAAAGTGAGGGTACAAATCTTAAGTGGATGAATTCAACATCAAGTTGAGGGGGGGAAATGTAAACAATTGGTAGTGTGTGTTTTTTTACAATCAAGTAGTATATAAATTTTGTTGTAGTAGTTTTTTAATTTAACGTTATGCTAAATATGGTGAAGAAATTGTATTTAACTAGAAGTAGGTCAGTTTGACAAACAACTCTTGGTTCCTCATTCCTCACAGCTAACTTTTTTTGTGTTGTAAGAGACCTAAATGTCCTTGCTACCAGATAAATGATAATTGTCTGTTTATTGCTCTTCTGAGTTGCTTGTTTTGTATATTAAAACTTACTATGCTACTACCACAAGCATCATTCCCCCAAACACTTGGTGTTGTGACAGCTTTTTCTGGTTATGAACACTTACATGTCACTGAAATAGTGCCGTTATGCCTGGTTTTTGTGTAATCACACTTCCATTGTTATTATTTACAGGAATTGACTACAAGACCACAACAATCCTGTTAGATGGCAGACGAGTCAAACTGGAGCTCTGGTAAGGTTGCATTGCTGAAATCTTACCAAAGTATTAAGAGTGCCTACATGACCTTAAGCCAAGAAAGAACTTGGGTTCATCAATATAATGTTCTTGCAAGCTTAGAAGTGGCTGCCTGGGCTTATCTGGAGACATTCATAGATATCGATTTCATTTAATTATAGCATGTAGATTACATTTTTCCTTATCCCATCCTCCTCTTGTATGGCCTGGCTTCACAAGCTTCCTTCTACTGCTGCTACATGCTGAAAAGAAAACAAGGGGCTTACAGCATACAACAGGCATAGGCAAACTCGGCCCTCCGGATGTTTTGGGACTACAACTCCCATCATCCCTGACCACTGGTCCTGTTAGGTAGGGATGATGGGAGTTGTAGTCCCAAAACATCTGGAGGGCTGAGTTTGCCTATGCCTGGCATACAACATAATTTAACCTTGCATACAGATTTACAATGTGAATGGAAGACATATGAAGAAAAACAAGGAAGTAAAGGAGGACAGTAGGGGAAGATATGCTAAGTCACTTTTCCCACCTTCAGTTTGTGTGTGTCTGGGCAGATTTTATTTTTTGCCATATTTTTTGCCCTGTGGCCTAAGGACAGTTTACCTTTAAATGTTTACATCTGGTCCTGCATGAAAGCATTTTCAAAACAGTCCTGGTTCCTACTTAGTGTTCATTCTAAGAGCATTGGTTTTTGGCCACTTATGGAAATGGCCTCTTGCAGAAGGAGGATGGTGTGTGAACTTAGTCACAAAGTCTCTACCACAGTGAGTTAAAAGACATTAACTTTCACGATTTGATAAAAGAAGTTTTGAGCTGGAGTGTAAGAGTGGAATTTTAGAAGTTTTTCTCTTGTGGTGTGTAACCCCCCCCTTCCGGGCCCGGGAGCGTCCTGCCTTTGAGCCTGTTGAAGAGGAAAGGAGTTTGACAGCTGTTAAAGCTGTCAAACGGGCAATTTAAAGTAAAAAGCGTGTTATTTAAGATCTCCTGGACTAAATGTGATACAATTGAATTAAAGTGGTTCGAAACAAAGAAACAAAGAACGAGGCAAAGGACTGTTGGGAAAAGATTACTAAGTAACCAGATTCCCTCTAGGGGAATTCTGAGACATTACAATGGCTGCGGATGGAAATTTACTAGCTGAAATAGAAAGAATGTGTTACTTTGTGGGAACTTTACAAGAGCAGAGTCTGGCTATGAATAAACAACTTACGACCTTGACTTCTGGAATAAGCAGCTCTGCTGAATGTATTGAGGATCTGAATGAGAAAAAGCTGCAGCTGAACCGGAACAGATATCTCAAGAATTGAAGGAGACTAAACAAGGAAAGGAGAAAGCACAGATGGAAAGTACCAACCAGAAGCCTACACATGTGGATTATAAACAAGAAGACCCTTGGATTACATGGATTACAAATCTGCAAAAGATGCGAAAGATGAAGGAGGAGGCCCCTGGAGTACTTGGAATTCAAGAACTTAAAAGAAAGAAGAAATATGATGGGGGCCTCCATTCTGAATATGAAGGACTGGTGGAACTTTTGCAGCAGTTGTCTCTAAGTTTTCTTGTGGGAAGAAAATCTGGCTTGACTGGGACAGAACTCCTTCGAGATCCGAAGACCAACATAAAGGACTACCAACAAAACCGGCGGAGAGGGACTGAAAGAGACTTGAAGGCCTCGGATGTGAGAAATCCAGGCTAAGAACTGTTATTGTAGAAATGTACTTGGGAAGGGACGAACCGGGGATGGGAGGGGGAAAATAGAATTTTAAAAACACAAGAGCATCCAGTGTGGTGCCCACTAGATGTTGTTGGGCAGCATCAGCCCCAGCCAGCGTAGTCTATGGTTGAGGATGACTGGAATTGTAATCCATTGCCCTGGTCTACCATAATGATTACCACTCTCTCCCTGACATTATGCTATTTGCAACAGGATAGATGGAACAAGCTTCTAGTTTGTGTAGTGACGGGTGTATAAGAAAAGTGCCAGCAAAAATCTGACCCTTTAGATATTTAGTAATGCCTGAATTGCACCAAAAATCTGATCTCCCTGGGAAATCTGATGCAGGGGAATGAGGGTGGTGAGGCTTCCAGCTGTTTGTCATGCACCCCTCCCAGGTCATTGGACACAGCAGAGACCAACACACTGCAACGTGTTCTGTGACTAACCTGACCGCAGCTTGCACTTATGTAGGCACTTGCTTAGGTCAGCACAGCACTCCTCATAGCATCACAGATGTCTGGTGATGCCCCTTGGTGTGCTGTAATGTTTAAATAGATGAGAAGGCATGGCTTAAATCTACACACAAGCTCTGAGGCAGCTGGTGTCCTTAACACACCCTATGTTTGTTTACTACAGAACACGTTGTACTCCTAAACAGAGTTGTAAGAATTCCTCAGTGTAATGTCAGCCTCTGGAGTAGCCATTGAATGCTGAACTCAAACATATCTTCTCCAGCCAAAATTTGTCCTTTGTTTGTTTTCATAGCAGCTTTTTAAATGAAGAGCTAAGAATTCTCTCTACGGCTAGGCAGTACTGAAGGACTGCTTCCAACACTTTTCTTTTATGTGTATGTGGAAGTTGGGTGACAGAGAGAGTCCACCAACTTGCCATATTCATTAAAGATAGCCTTGCATGTGCATTCTTGTGGATTAATGATCTTTTCTGAGCCCACACCCCCATCCATACCAATCATTTGTAGCACTTCTTAAATCTTCAGGAGAATATGTTCTCACTCACCTAACAAAAAGTTAACTGAACTTTCATGTAGACAGGCCTATGCAGTTGTTGTTTTTTAAAAAAACAAAAACGTGAACATTTTAATGATTGTTCTGTAGTGCTCTTAATAGAGGGGGATTTCTTATTTTGCTGCAGACTCCCTGATGCTTTTTGAAAGGGTGGTATATAAATACTTTTATAAATAAATAAATTCGCATTTGACAGCAATTTGTAATCACTGTAGATCAGTACATAAAAGGCTCTTGGCAGGAAGCACATCTGGCATAACTTTTTTTTAAAAAATGTGTAATTGCAGAGAGAGAAATGAGAGGGGGCAAGCAAACTTTTCACTGGAAGAGGTTTCTGAAGCTGAAGTGTCCTGGTGAAAAAAGCCTTAACCTTTGCACCCCACCCACCTAACCACCAAAGGCGAGACAGAGCTCAGCCATTATCTTAGAATGGGCAGTTTTGAATGAGAGGGTGTGTTTTGTTGTTGTCTAGGTTGTTGTTGTCACTAAAAAGGGGGGTTGGTGCTAGTAACTTGACAAAGGCCACCTGGTGAAACCATGACAGTTAGAACTTGAGCCTTGGTCTCTCTCATCTAACTCTCTCTAGTGGAACATATTGACGATCCTCACGTTGAACAGTCAAATCCTGTCTCCAGTGGTAGGAAGCTGGAACATAATACCAATGAGCATCTAGTCCATCTATAGCAGGGTCGGCCAACTTCCAAGAGACTTTGATCTACAATTAAAAACTGGCAGTGATCTACCTCTTTTTGGGGGGGGGGGGTTTCAGGTGAAAGTTGTTGAGCTTATTTTAGGGAGAAAAATCCAATGGGGGGGGTCAGGTCGAAGAAATAAATAAAAATAGGAGCTCACCAAGAGATTGCTAATGAAATGGTCAGCCTCACAGCGAGAGCTCCGTCTTCCAGTATACTGATCTAGAGGGCAGGGCGAGGGGACAGGGCTGGATGGAGGATCCCACGATCTACCAAAACATTCCAGGAATCGAGCAGTAGATCACAATCGACCTGTTGGACATCCCATATCTATAGTATATGTATGTAGCATGTATGTCTCTACCTACCCATTTATAGGTCATAGGAAGTGGGAACAGCTATGATGAATTTGCACACAAAGGCGGCCTGCTGGAGGGCTTGCAAAATGGATTTTACATACATAGTCATTGTCTTTGAAGCATTCAAAGTGAGGGCAGCTGGTGTTGAGCAGGACCTGGAAGTGTCTGCTGTAGCTTCTGTTGTGGTTGAATTCTGCCAGTAGCAGCCTCCAAGAACTGAAAACAATGAGCTGCATCAGTAGATAAAATGGGAGTAATGAACTTGAACCCAGCTTGAGAGTATGGATGTTCTGGATTGATAAATAGAGCTGTAAAAAAAATTTTAGTTCTCAGATGCTAACATGTAATCTATATTCCTGAACAACCAGTCATTTGGGATATCTTTTGTATGTGTACTTGCATGGAAAAGATAATATGCACTCTTACTAGTGTTTATTAACATGTATGGTAAAATTTTCTTGTGTATATTCTTCTGCAGGAAATATATTTGTGGGTACACAAGACTGGGATAAGTTAGAGTGTTCTTTTTAGGCGTGGAGTATGAGAGTGCACTCTACACAAATCCATATGTGAAGCACAGCATTTTGGGGAGAAAAATAATGACTTTTGTACAGTACAGTGGTGCCCCGCAAGACGAATGCCTCGCAAGACGGAAAAACCGCTAGACGAAAGGGTTTTCCGTTTTGAAGTTGCTTCGCAGGACGAATTCCCCTATGGGCTTGCTTCGCAAGACGAAAATACCTTGCGAGTCTAGAAATTTTTTTCGCTTTTCCCCCTTTATCTAATCTGCTAAGCCTTTAATAGCCTTTAATAGCCTTTTAGCAGCTAATCCCTAAGCCTTTAAGCCTTTAATAGCCGCTAAACAGCTGATAGCGCTAATAGCGCTAATCCGTCAATGGGCTTGCTTCGCAAGACGAAAAAACCGCTAGACGAAGACTCTTGCGGAACGGATTAATTTCGTCTTGCGAGGCACCACTGTATCCTCTTGTATAGTATGTAGTTCCAATTTTAACCAACAGATCACTGAATGGAATGGTTTTGTTATTGGCTAAGGATTCAACGAAAGGGTTGGGAAGGTAGAATGGGGAGATCTGAAAGCCATCTACTTTTTTCCCTCCTTCATTGTAGGGACACATCGGGCCAAGGGAGGTTCTGTACAATTTTTCGGTCATACTCCAGGGGAGCTCAGGTGAGTACAGTCAGCAGTGCTGCTTAGCTTCTGTTACTTGACTCCAGGCAAAGGTGCCACCTGCAGTCATTGCTTATCAGTTTGTTAATGTCTGGAAGTGAGCCAGGGGGAACCAGTGATTGTGTTTGGGGCAGCCCTAACAATGCATCCATATTGGTTTAGGCCAAGGGTGGTGCCCTCCAATTCTCATCAGCCTCAGTCAACATAGTCAATGGGCTGATGGGAGTTGTAGACCAAAACATCTGGAGGGCACCATGTTGGCTACTCCTGGCTTAGGCTACAGAATGATGGCTGTGCTGAAACTAGAGTCTTGCCATGGGGAAAAAAGCATTTCTATTTCTCTTCCACTATTTCTTCCACTTCAGTCTGGCAATTCTGCTTGTGGCCTGGGTCCTAACTTATTGCTGAAAACATCCAGCTTTCTGAAACATTCCTCTTGTATTTCTTTACACACGCACACACACCAAAAAAACTTTTATAGTCTATAGGTCAGGCGTGGGGTTGGAGGGAGCCTTCAGTAGGCTGGTAAAAGAATGGTTCTCAGAATTCCTAATCATATGACTAGAAATGGGTAGAATACTTTGAAAACCTTACAGTAGAAGTGAATTACATGGCAAAAAGGCAGGAAAAGAACACACAGTTGGGTGTGAAGTCACCATTGACCAACTTTAGGAGAATACCTTCTGCAAGTAAGCAACTTGGAATTTTTTTTTTTGTTTGTTTTAATTTGAACATTTGGTGTTCTGTTTCATACAGGGAATCCTCTTGGTCTATGACATTACCAATCGCTGGTCTTTTGATGGAATAGACAGATGGATCAAGGAAATTGATGAGGTAAGAATGGCAAAGACTGCATTAGACTTCCATAAACTTGGTCTTTTTATCTTTGCTCATCATCTACAAATCTGGTTCAGGGAATGTCAGAATTTTTGGTTTCCTGTTAGGACCTTATACTGTATTGAAGCAAACTGTCAGTTGGGTACTATTGCATCCTGCTGCAGGCTGAAATGCTTCTATAACCTTCTATTGAGACCAAACACCCAAGTAAAAATCCCTGCACTAAGAAAACTCATATCCAGGTGGAGTCTAGGTTAGAATCTTTCTCCTTTGACAGGTGTTAGTCACCTGGGATCATTATAATGAGAGGTTATGGGTTGCAGCCTCACCTGCTTGTCAAAGTTAGCCCATGGAGGGGTGGGGAGATATTGGGATTCTGTTCCCAACCAGATCCACTTCCCAGTCCTGCCCAAGTGCACAAATTCTCTTATGTGCAGGGATTTTTATATGGCAGAGAAATTATTCATATAAACCCTGGCCTGTAGTCTGGAGTAGGATAGCCCAGACACAGGTTTACTACTTCAGAAAGGCCTAACATAGTTATCAGAAAATGTTATCTGTTAATTGCCAGGCATTAAGAGGAAAATATGTTAGTACACTTAACACTAGAATGTAGAAGGGATGGAAGGTGTGGGCAGATACTGGGATTTGCCAAGCTTAAACCAGTTTCTAGTCCCCATTTCCTCCTTGCAAAGCCAGCAGTGTACTAGACATGGCCTTCTCTAGATAGCAGCTTCTTCTATTGGACCCTGTGCCATGTCCAGGTTAGGAGCACAGAACCCGGCCTGAAAAATGAAAGCACAGCATTGTCTTGTAAATGAGAAGTGCCAAATAGGTATTTTGCTCCCCAAAGGAAAAGGGTTGGAACATGAGCTTGGGCTGGCATGGAAGTCCGTATGTTCAGTGATATGTTTTTCTCTCTAAAGCATGCTCCTGGTGTGCCCCGCATCTTGGTTGGCAACCGGCTTCATCTGGCCTTTAAACGGCAAGTGCCAACAGAGCAAGCCCGCTCCTATGCAGAGAAAAATTGCATGACGTTCTTTGAGGTCAGCCCATTGTGCAACTTCAACGTGATTGAGTCCTTCACGGAGCTGTCTCGTATTGTGCTGATGAGGCATGGCATGGAGAAGATCTGGAGGCCCAACAGAGGTGAGCAAGCACCCACACCATTGTTACTGCCATGCATTAAGACAGGAATAGATGTTCCAGTTGTCAGTCTTCCTTCTAGGATTTGGTGTTTGGTACACATGGCATTTCCACTATTGCTCTTTGAATTCAGCTACGGTAGTTTGCCTCAATGTCATGTGTGATGTCTGTCATGTAAGTTACTGTGACTTAGCTTGCTTAATGATGATTCGCTCATATTAGTACGAATAGGCGAAATCTCACTCTGCAAAAACAATGAAACATCTGAAACAGACCTTATTTAGATATGAAACAAAAATGGAGCTCTATGTGCCTTGAGTCTTCTCCTCTAGAGACAATACCTGCCTATCTTCTTCTTCACTGAGCCCTGTGAATTTATTGAACTTGCTTTATGCCCCAACATACCACCCTGACTTTGGGTTCTCTCCATTGATGTCATTATCCTCCTTGTATATAGAAAAGAAACTGATTAAAAATAGCTTTTTGCATGCAGCACTGAACCAACTAGGCCAGTTTTTATATCTCCCATAGCTGTGAAAATAGGATTGAAAAGGCTTGGATGTTGCAGGCTTGATCTTTTTATTAGAGTATCAACTTTCCCACTCCAGATTTGATTTCTTAAACAAACTTTATAGCATAAGCTAGCCAGCATTCAGTGAGTTGTTAATTTTCAGTTTTATCAATTGACACTAAAATTTCATGTTTTCTTGAGACCTCTATTTGACTTCTCTCAAAGTAGTTCAGTCATGGGAATCTGTCCAGCATCTTCCATGGTAGTGACCAATGCAACTAATTTATTCAGCTTGTTTGGATCACAGACTTCAGGTCCCCCCGTGCTGACTTTGGGGGTCTTAATATAGAGCGTGTGTGATATATTGTTCCATCCTTGTCAATCATTCCCAGCAGCTTGATGTTTGAAGAAGCATTGTGGACAAGGGAATATGAAGAGCAGCCTTACACTGAGCCATTCAAACAGCACTTGACAAAGCCAGCTTCCTGCTTTCCCTGTGGGGTGCAGTTTTCCTTGTTGTCAGAAGATGGCATGCTATCATTTCTGTGGTGGAGGGATTCTTTGACTCTGTCATAGCTGACCTGCTCAGTTTCAAAAGAGCTCCCCTTCCACTCTCACATGCAAGGCTGGCAGATAGTTCAGCTTGCAAAAGTCTTCTTTGTCCTCAGCCCTAAGGGCAACTGGAACAAAAGGAAAGTCAAGAGGGCAGAGGTTCTTATCCAAGTCCCCACTAGGAGAAGGGATTGCTGCTAGTTCACATGTATACAGGTATTCTGAGATTCTGGGTAACAGGAGCACAGATAGGGAGGATAGTAACTTCAAGCACTGCTTCACAGCTGACGAGCACAGAAGTCTGGTTTAATGTACTTACTTTTTTTGGTAATATCTGTTCGAGTCAGCCTGAGATTTGTGGACTGGGGATTTCATAGCAGATTTCAGTAGCTCTTCCAGCTGCATTCAGGTGAGCGATTAGTTGCTCTGACCCTTTTGGCTCCCTGCGTGAAACTTTGCTAGTGACCTGAACTGTGTCAGGCCCTCAAGTAACAGAACTAGAATGCCTTCCTCTCTTCTCCCCCAGCAGTGACCTCATCAAAGCAAATCTGCCCCACCCCAGAGTAGTTGTTCTGCTTTGCAAAGCAGATGTTACAAGATTTTGCACACTGCTTAGAAAGAAACACGGGGCCACAGGTTCTCATGGGTGTGAGCGAGTTTGCTCATAGGGTCTCAGTCCAGCTGTGGGAAGGGATCAGAGTTCAGGGCTGTTTGCCTCAGGTTGCCAGGGCTTGTATACTTGTCAAATCGGAATGTGCTCTGTTCTGAGGCATGCAGCATGTCTGCTCACCTCTAGACCAAGCCTGTCCTCCCTCATTGAATTTTCAGGCAGGGAAGCCCTCTTCCAATTTTAATTGCAGTCTCGAGGGCTTTGTCTGGAAGGGAATTTATATGCAGTGTGTCTTCTGCAGACATGACTTAGCCAGCCAGTCGGCTTTCCCGCCAGCCAGTTGTGGGGAGGCATTAATTACTTTGACAATGGCCCAAGAAACCTGATTAACACACAAGAATATGATTTGGGAGAAGATGCGGGTTCATTCCCAGCTCTAAAATTCTGTTGGGCATGTCACTAATTCTCTAGCTTCAGTTTCTTGTCTGGAATGTAGAGAGAAAGAGAGAGAAAGAACTCTGCCTCCCTAGAAGAGTTGTTATTGAATACTGAAACACATATCGGAGGCTATAGGAATGTAGCCATATAAACTGATCAAACAGCCTAAACTCAGTGTTCTGTGCAAAACCTGGGGCTTCTGCTTCCCAATGCTATACTTGGTGTTACTTGGGGCTGCAGAGCCTTGCATAGCCATTGGGATAGTATGGAGTTCAATATATTAAATGTTTTGAAAATAAAAGCACGTTTCTAGTCCTCATAGTTGTCAGGAACCATCTTATGGGGAAATTAGCAGTGCCAGCTGGACTGGACTGTTGAACCAGGCAGCTTTGCTTGATGGCATGACTTGATGGTGTCCACTGTGCTGGAAATAGCGCACAAGTCAAGCTTTGTACTTCTGGCCAGATAGGTTGGTTCCCTATGTAAACTGATGTCACAATAAGTTCTGGTGTGTGCTATTGCAGGGTGAGGAGAGGTATGTGTGTCAAGAGCTGCACTTTCAGGTTATGCAGCTGTGCCCCTACTTCAAGATGTCTATCTAATGAATGGGTATATATGATTTTATGCTAAATATTTCAAAAAATGTTCAAAGTGGATTACAAACATGAAACAACAACTCCAATTGATAACTAAGATAAAACCAGGTAAAACAAATTCAGAGGCTGGGGTGAATTAACCAGATCCTGATATTGGAGAAGGGGCTGAAGGATGTCGCTGTGGTGTTGCACTTCTTGAAGTGTTAATTTAGATAGATTGTGGGTTGACTTATTCAATGGAGCACTTACAAAAGGAAACTGGTAACCAGAAGCGGGCTACACTGATCTCTTGGGCTATTTCCCCTCCAAAGAATGTATGAAAATGTAGCTTGCTGCAGGCATACATTTAAAACTACAGGATTTGGGATTTATAGGCTCAGCTCATCCATATACAGGTCCACAGTGCTAGCTAAGGCTGGGGAAGTGCCTGACACCTAAAGAACTAAACATTTGTTCATGGAAAATGGTATACTTGCACCAGAGCAAACGATACAAGAACTGTCCCAATCGTACATCCTTTCTAATCCCGTATTTCTTTTTTATTGCCTCCCACATCCACAGTGTTCAGCCTGCAAGACCTCTGCTGCCGTGCCATTGTTTCCTGCACGCCCGTCCACCTTATAGACAAGCTGCCCCTTCCCGTCACCATCAAGAGCCACTTGAAGTCTTTCTCCATGGCTAACGGCATGAACGCAGTGATGATGCACGGCCGCTCATACTCCTTGGCCAGCAGCGGAGGTGGGAGCAGTAGCAAAGGCAACAGCTTGAAGCGCTCCAAGTCTATCCGTCCGCCACAGAGCCCACCACAGAACTGCTCGCGCAACAACTGCAAGATCTCTTAGCAAGTCGGTGCTGGGGAGTGTCTCCTCCAGCCACGCCCGCCCACTCGCTGATGTACAGATGTTTACACACACGTAACCCATTCCACTGGGGTCTCTCCTGACGTTCCTCTGTGTCTCTGGCAACAGTGCCTACAGGATTGGCATGGGGCTTGTGGGCTGACGTGAGGTTGGCAGGATCCCACATGGCAAGGGGGTGCTGAGCCAGCCTTCCCAGAATGCAGTAGGTGTGCCCCTCACCCTGCTCTGAGGGGCAACTGCATGGCTGCCTCAAGGGAATGACTCTCTTCCTCCTGCGAGGGAGGAGATGGGACTCTGTGCTGCAACTTTAACCTTGCGCTCCCAAGTGGATTGCTGGTGCTACAGTGAACATGACTCTTTTTTTAAAAAAAGGGGGTGAGGAGGCAGGAATTATAGCAACTTCAACCCAGATGGAGTTCTGCCTTTACCCAACAGAAATACCATGATTGGCTGGGGATCCTTAGAAAGCAGGCTGCTTGACATTTTCACTTATTTATAAATATAAAGAGATTCTCACTACTTTTTTTTTCTTCTTAGTTCTCCTCCATTCCTGCCTTTTTTTAAAGAGAAGGACATCAGGGGGGAAATGTTGTGCTGCCTTGTAAATAGAAGTACTGAGCCTTGACCCCTAGGGCTAATTGAAGTAGGAGGGGGGGTTGACGGGGGTCAAGGAGCAAAATGATCAAACACTCTGAGAATTGTATAAGACTCACAGGGTTGCTGTCATTTTTTTTTTTTTAATTCTGTTTGTGAAAGGAGGTAGGGATTTGTTCCTCTTTTCTTTTTGACTTAGATTTTCCAGACATTCCTGGTAACAAGTGCATGGCTTAAATGGACAGCAAGGGCAGGGTTCTGAATCACACTGCTGTGTTTGTGGGGATGGGGTGGGGGGAAGAGAATGAGGGTGGGGGAGTCCTGACTACATCTGGAATTGGTTAATGACTGATCAAGCCATCCCTGCCTCCCAGGAGGCTTAAGGCAAAAGGTTAGACTGTACCAAATCTCAAAAAGATCATGGCTTGGGGGGGGTGTGGTGGGGAGAGACGATCATCAGTAAATGCTGCTCTTTTATGGCTGTTCATAATTACTGGGTTGTGTGAGGCATGGGGAGATCTGGGGCTCCTGAACAAAACCTCTCCTGCAGCATGTTCTCTGGCTGGGCAGAAATCCTCGCATGTTACTGCGCTTTTGCTTTTGTAGTCAGCTACTTGCTTTTGATGCTCTCTAGCCCTGTGGTGTTGTCAATCCTGTTCATACAGCTTCTCTGAACTACAGAGTTGCTCAGGGAGCCCAAACAGTCTTAGAAATCCAGGGCACACCTCCCCACCCCTCCCACCCCCATTAACACCTTTTCACTTTTCAAAAATCAATTTATTCACCAGAATTGTACACAGATAGTAAAAGCCTCTCTTATAACATGCATAAGAGTATTAAGATTGGTGGGGTAAGGCGGGAGAGGTGGAATACTGAGAAACAAATTAGTTGCAGCTTCCGTGGCTCTTTCCTTTGTACACTGCCCTGCTCTCTGTTCACTTAGAGTACCCTGTGCTGCCACAAATGCACATTGGGCTGTTGCTTTAGCTTTGGCTGGAGTTGATGGGAAACGAAGCAGAAGTGTGCAGAGGGTGAAGCTACAGTCACCTGCTGGCTTTATTGATAGAGCCTATGAATTGCATTCTGGAATCTTTGATTTATTCACGTCCTTCGCCACCTAGTTCGTTTTCTCTCTCTCTCTCCCTCCCCCCCCCCATCCCTATTTATCTCAATCTATCTCTCCCTGGTGAATGTCTCCTCCCAGGTGGCTTTCCTCAATACCACCCACCATCCTGCCCAGGACTGGCCACTTAACCTTATTGCAGATTGGAAAGGGTAGTATGATGCTGCTGGTTGCTTGTCATGCAGCTGACTAACCCATTCTGTTCAGGAACTTTGACAGGAGCCTAGCTGGCAGAGCTGCAGCTTATTGGCTGCTCCAAGATGGCTTGGCACGAGGGGTGAGCCAAGCCCCGCTGTTGGCATGAGCTCAAAGAGGGCGGCGGGGACAGGTCAAGGGCAGGGGAAAGCCTTTAGCGGCATCTCATCGGGCTGTGAACAAAGCCAGAGCCAAATCCAGGGCAGGAGCATGGAAGCTTGGAGATTTACAGGGCATGTCGGCACAGCCACGACCACCTGTTGCCGCTTGCTCTAAATGGAGTGGGAGACAATCACTGACTCAACAGCCTGGCATTCTGGGGATGTGCAGTGAACAGGTGATCTAGGAGGCAGCCTGGACACAGCCATCTTTCCACCCTTGGTTTTAAAATAGCTACTTCCCAAAAGAGCTATAGAATGTGCATTGTTTTTCTGAAGAATTGCTGGGAGTGCCCCCCCCCATGCATCCACCCCTGCTTGGCAGGCTGTAAATCCTCCTTATTGTGTCTCCAGCATCTGATATCACTTGTACATAATCTGCTGGGACAGGGTGGCCATGGAGCTTTTCTTACCAGAGTAGAAGAGTTCAACTACCTGCACTTGTTCTTTCTTACTTGTACATGCATAATTTTCAGTCTCACCTAAATGCCTGTCTTTAATTTTCCCTTCTTCTTTTTTTAAAAAATCATGGCAAATTCTGTGGAATGAGACTCTTTGGAATGTCTGTCAATCAAAGCTGAACTTGTACCTTATTTTATTAATGTTCAACTCAAAGAATGTGATCTGATATCAAACACTAGAAACTAGCTGCTCTCCCACACACGTACCATTCCTCTGTTTTTAATTCCTTTGTACAGTAAACGTTGTTAAACTGATGGTTTTTATATAAATTAAAAAAAATTATCTTGTTTTAAAACCACCCTGCAGGCTCTGGAAGTTGTCATTGACAAGCAAGTGAGCTCTTTAAAGGGGTGTTGCTGAAGGACAGTGGGAGGGCAGCAGAGAAGTGGGGGAGGCTGGGCAGGATGGATTTAAGGGGATTAAGGGGGCTTGTGGCTCTGGGATATTCCCAGGAGGAATGGTGGAAAGCACTTTGCTAACTGCCTCATTTGAAATGAACAGGCATTTGGCCATGGACTGAAGGCTTGGATCAAAGCGGAATGCTTTCTTCACACTTGCATGACTTGAGAGAATCTCTATTCTGTGCCAAGGGCATGGATGTTTGCACACCAGCCCATAGATCCCTTCTGGAGACTTCAACCGTGCTTATTTTAATTTTTTAAAGAAAAGAACTTGTTAGCATTGCAAAAAATAAATAGATCTGGCCTTGGTACAATTTGATGGCATTCAGACAATGAAATCCTGGCTTAAGAAGTCAGGATACCTAAACACACCATGTGTCCACTTCATATACAGCTCATGTACACTACATATACATGAGCAAGGAAACGAGCCAGGAAGCCACTGTTAACCATGGTTTCCCATTATGTCCAAACCAGGAAACAATGGTTAATGGCTTCCAATCAAGGGTATGATGCCATGGTTTAAAATTTGGCTTATGAATCCTGACTTGTTTAGAAAGCAATTATGCACAGTTCCCAGGGTTCATGCAATGAAAAGCATGTCTAACTGCAGTTATACACTTTACTCTTTTCCTATGAGTGATGGGGCTGCATGCGTGCTGGTGCACAAAGCTCATGCATTTCCATGCATATTAGGATTTGCGCATCTGAAGATTTTACATTACACGTTACATTACAGTAATTGCTCTACGTTGGAAAAAGGCAAGAAAATGCATTTAAAAGCGCTTAAAAGATTCTTCACTTTTATTATGTGTGCATCCCACCTTCTCTCTGGGAACACAAGGCAGCAATACATGGCATTACAAGTTATTTCCCATTCTGGCCTGGGCCAGCCCCAGACTGACTTTGTTTCAGCAAGGTCGCTACCTCGTGGACCTTCAGACTGTTGCCTACTCCTTATCAACTGTACCTCTGGAACTGAGTAAAACACATGTCTGATACAGAGTAGACACTACAAGCCTTCAAAACTACAAACTACAAGCTTTTGATATTGTGGTTTTAAAGCCTCTCTGCCCTAAATTACAAATGTGCTTTTCTGCTGCTGGGGAAAGATTCAAGATGATGGGGGGAGGTACACAGAACAGTGTAATATAGCACGTTCATTTGAATGCCTTTCAAGATTAAGGTTTAAATCCACCCAGCATTCCTGCCTATGTAGTTATGTACTGGTTAGAGCCACGGTTACAGCATTCACCCATGAGAGGAAGAAGAACCCAATCCGTAGATGTATTGTATAGCAGAGTGGCTAAGCCTTAAATTGCGTCCTGTGGAGGCCTGAATCAAGTTCCACTCCACCGCAGACCTCCCCATCATCTATAGCACTGAGCAATAACAGCAACCTACCTTTCTGAATTGTACTCCTTTCCACAAGTTTCATGTATGTGAAATAAATGAAAACACTTTTTAAAGAAGCTAAGTATGGGCATGTTTCCTTCTTGTAATCCACTCTGGAACTTCAAAAAGTGGCCAGGTTATGTTCCAGAACTTAAGAAATTAGCCTTCAATTCTGCACCCATTTTGCTAATTTCTAGCATGGAGCATATTGGAAAATATAATGACCCAATTTTGTGTGTACTGCTAAATGGTTTAGTGTTACATGCATGAGCCTGGGGCTACTAACAAAGGAGAACAGGGTGGGTATAAGCCCTGGCTCACTCATGTAGCACTAATACATAGTTTAGCACTGTCTCTAAAATAGCCAAAACAAGCTGCTTAAATTGGCATCCTAGGTTGCATGCAAGTTTCTCCACACTGCCGTTTGAAAGAGTGCATCAGGGACTGCCTACTCTAAAAAAATGAATATTGATGTATTCTTTCTTTTTTCAGTCTTTCCAACAGGTATGAAAGCAGCATTTTCTCTTTTTCTTCTCACCATGTCTGACCCTCCAAGTGTCCCTATTTTCCAGGGGTAGTCCTAGATTTACAGAAGCCATCCAGGTTTCTGATTTGATCCCAGAATGTCCCACTTTTCCTTAGGACGTCCCTATTTTCATCAGAGAATTGTTGGGAGAGTATGGAGTTATGCGAACCCCGAGCCAAGGAGATAAGTAACTATACAACCTTTAAAAGACATATGAAGTCAGCCCTGTATAGGAAAGTTTTTTTAATGTTTAATGGGCAGCATATAAATAATAAAATTATTATGGAATAGGATGCCCCTATTTTCACTGGAGAAATGTTGGAGGGTATGCCATGTAAGCTGGGCTCAAAAGGAGAGCAAGGCAGAGACACTGTGGTTCGTTCCATTGCTGCTGCACATCAGTGGTACAGCGCATGCCTTAACACAAAACAATTGCCCTAGTAAAATCCATGTAGGGCTGCAGCTCTGGAGAGCAGCTATCAGTCAGTGTTAGACAACATGGAACATGGAACATTGAATTCTGAATTTATTGTTATTCACATTTTATACTGTATCTTAAGCTGTTTTTTGTTGCATCAATTAAGTGTTTTAAATTTGTTGTTAGCCGCCCTGAGCCCAGTTTTCTGAACCGGGAAGGGCGGGGCATAAATAAAAATTTAGTATTACAGTGGTACCTCGGGTTAAGTACTTAATTTGTTCCGGAAGCCTGTTCTTAACTTGAAACTGTTCTTAACCTGAAGCACCATTTTAGCTAATGGGGCCTCCTGCTGCCACCACGCCGCCGGAGCATAATTTCTGTTCTCATCCTGAAGCAAAGTTCTTAACCCAAGGTAATATTTCTGGGTTAGTGGAGTCTGTAACCTGAAGCATCTGTAACCTGAAGCATATGTAACCCGAGGTACCACTGTATTATTACTAGATGGAAGGTCTTCAGCCAGGGGTCAGCAAACTTTTTCAGTAGGGGCCGGTCCACTGTCCCTCAGACCTTGTGGGGGGCTGGACTATATTTTGAAGGGGGGAAAAGATCAAATTCCTATGCCCCACAAATAACGCAGAGATGCATTTTAAATAAAAGCACACATTCTACTCATGTAAAAACACCAGGCAGGCCCCACAAAGAACCTAGAGATGCATATTAAATAAAAGCACACATTCTACTCGTGTAAAAACCCGGACCGTCCGTGGGTCGGATTTAGAAGTCAATTGGGCCGGATCCAGCCCCTGGGCCTTAGTTTCCCTACCCATGTCTTAAGGCATTCTCCATTGCTACTAACTTAAGCTGCTCTTCAGTAGATTTAAGTGGTGGTAAAGGGCAGAATGATAGGGAAGAGTAAGCAAACAAGTGCATTAATGCTCCCCTTGCGGCTTCAGGAAGTACCCTGCACATCCTCGCCCCACGGAGCCTAATCAAAGGAGCTGGTGTGATTTCAGGTGGGTTTGGGAAACAAACAGTCGGAGCAGATGACGCTCTCCTTGTGCAGGACGTTCTGTTTTCTGTACAGATGTCCTCTCTATGTAAGGGGGTGTGGGGAGAGATTTGAAGCAAAACTTAACCGTTGCATGCCTTGGTCGCCTCTTCCTCCTTCACGCACTCCTTAACTGCAGCTGCTGAGAATGGGCTTCTGGATATTTTTTTTACATTGAAATCCTCCCAACAAATCGGACAATACAAATGTCTGCTTGATCTGGTTATTTGCAAAGCTCATTTTAAGGGGAGAAACGTGTTCATCTATCCCCAGGCGATTCTTATCTTTCAAATGCACCGAGAACCGTTGTACCATTTCTGGTTTTTTTCTTCAAGATCCAAGAAGATGCCCAATGGTGATAGTTTGGGTGTTGCTGGTTTTTTGGCTGCTTTCAGTTGATCTATAAAATGTATGTTTATAAACTGCAGTGCTCCGCGGGGTTTTTTAAAACAGAGAATCCCTGTCAATTCTGCAAAGAAGCTGTAGATGTTTCAAAAGCTTACACTGAAAATAAATTGGGTAAGATCTGGCTCATGGAATAATGACTGAATCATGCCTGCTGAACTGTCCTCTGCTCGTATTTTAGTGCATTATCACGTAATTATATGTCAGGCTAGTGTGCATTTGCCCCTTGAGAGACAGACTTGTAAAAACAGATCGAGTCTGGCCTGGCTGTCACTCAGGAATACTACAGCCCATAAAATCTCACGGCAGGAGAAATTGCCTCCCTTCTGCCAATTACAGTTTTTGTGCTTTTATTCTCTCTCATCACTTGGAGCAACTACAGTAGTTAAAAATTGAATTGCTCCTGCATTATTTTTATTATTATTATTATTACACAAACATCTCTCCTTTTATATACCTACATTTAAAGGATTTATCTAATGTTCAGCAATGAGTTGACATGTTGTAAGTGAATGACATCATAGGAAATAGATATAAGGAAAGAATTATATAAATGGGACCCACTCAACTGTGGGCTGTTGTCACTCTTACAAAGTTCATTTGAGTGTGGGGCTGGAGGGGGCATGAAGCAAGAAAGCTGGTTGCCTCTGTCTTCATGGTGTATCCTCTCACAAGAGCAATTTTACAGCTAAAAGCCTAAATCCTTCTCTGTCTGTTGGTTGGTTGGTTGGTTGGTTGGTTTGCAATGGGTCACAGGCTGATCCTAAAGTGGCAAAAAAGGGAGGGATGGCTCCTGTTTTAATATTAAGCATCATTTAAACATTATTTAATGCATGCTATTATTATTTTGCAATAGCAGACATGATCATGCTGCATTACAAGAGACTTGCAATTGAAAAATAGGTGTAAGGTGTAAGACAGAAAGAGTAAGAAAATGGGGAAATGGGCAAACAGGAAAAATATTTGATTATGTCAATTACACCCGGTTTCTGTTCTTGGGTGCTTCCAGACCTGAAGTTTATTGTGGAATCAGTACTGCTTACACCCACAAGCTTTTTGCAGTGCCCACACAATGTTGTTGCTGTCAGAATGTCTGCCCATGCTGCTGATCAGCCCCCCCCCCTCCGGCTAACCCAAATTTCTCCTTACTACAGAAAATTCAGTGTGCAAACACCCATTTATACAGCTGAAGCAGCTGAAGTTGTTGGTGGTGTTAGAAGCTTGTTAGCACATTGTGGGGGGATTGTTGGGGGGCAATGCCTACTTCCATTTGCTCCCTATCTGAGCATTACTTAGCCATGTTTCCAGTGGCCCCCAATACCCTTATCTGCACTGATTAACACATGCCAAAGACACCCCCCCCCAATTGTGGAAGATATTCTCTCAAAAACTCCACCAGGTAGATGTGGGGGAGATGGTAATCACAGTAAATGCATTTGTCAAATGTTAAATCGATACAGACATCTTGCACAAGGCCTCTGTTGTCACTGCTGCACTATTCTGCACAACCTCAGCATTAAAACAATTTTTAAAACCCAAATATCAATGTATACTGCAGCATCCCACCAAAAACCCAACCCACAAGCCTCCATTTTGCCCCTTGTGATACAGGAAAACTGACTGGATAAGGCTGGTAACATTTGTTCATGTGTATTTCCTGCTCCTTGGGAGAAAGGCGATGGCAAACCTAGACAGCATCTTAAAAAGCAGAGACATCACCTTGCCAACAAAGGTCCGTATAGTTAAAGCCATACAGTAGTGATGTATGGAAGTGAGAGCTGGACCATAAGGAAGGCTGATCGCCGAAGAATTGATGCTTTTGAATTATGGTGCTGGAGGAGACTCTTGAGAGTCCCATGGACTGCAAGAAGATCAAACGCATCCATTCTTAAGGAAATTAGCCCTGAGTGCTCACTAGAAGGACAGATTGTGAAGCTGAGGCTCCAGTACTTTGGCCACCTCATGAGAAGAGAAGACTCCCTGGAAAAGACCCTGATGTTGGGAAAGATTGAGGGCACAAGAAGAAGGGGACGACAGAGGACGAGATGGTTGGACAGTGTTCTCGAAGCTACAAACATGAGTCTGACCAAACTGCGGGAGGCAGTGGAAGACAGGAGTGCCTGGCGTGCTCTGGTCCATGGGGTCACGAAGAGTCGGACACGACTAAACGACTAAACAACAACAATTTCATGGGGATTTTAAAATGGTTTAGAAGGTGAGTGTGTGAAGTACGGAAATACTATTTTCTATTGTTTGTGTTGCACACAGGTAATTGGGCAGTGGGAGTGTGGGGAGAGAGAATGATGGAGGAGACGTTCAAAAACTGCAACCTCAAACCAGCCTACATACATTCTGTCATGCTTTGTTCACAGGTCTGGTCAGCAAGTGGGGGAATAGTAATGAATATTATGCTTGGAACCTGTGGAAACCTAACATGCAAAATGCATGCACAGGGGAAATAATTCATCTGGACCTAAGATTCCTCACCATTGATCTATAGGAACTATAGGAAGCTGTGTTGGCCCATCTAGCTCAATATTGTCTACACTGACTGGCAGCAGATCTCCCGGCCCTGCCTGGAAGAAACCAGGAATTGAACCTGGTACCTTCTGCATGCAAAGCAGTTGCTCTACCACTGAGCTTACAGCCTTTCCTCCGTACTTCCTTTGAATATATTTTTTCTGCTGAGATTATAATTTCATTCTCTGAATGTTTGGGGTAAAAGTACAGGTTAGATCTAACTGAGTGGCTGGGGAAACCCAGCCAGATGGGTGGCGTATTTTTATTATTATTATTATTATTATTATTATTATTATTATTATACTGCTGCATCTCATTCCGAAACTCTCCTCTGGTGCATCGAGTGATGCAGGTGTTGTGATGTCAGGAATCCTGAGAGCTTTTCCTGCCCTAAATGCCACCAACAATGGTGGGAGAATCTGGCAGTACAGTGATTTGTTTGTTTATTTATTTCATTAAATCTGTATGTTTATAATATGTGGGGGGGGGGTATTCTTTTTGTTTGTTACTATGCTATGTGTTTTTTGTTTTTGTGGACAGAAGTACCAAATATTATATGGATAAGTACAGGCTATGATCTCCCAAGAAACTCTAAAATTACTTTTGATACTTCATCCTGAAGCCATTAGTACTGATTTTCAGCTGACTATCATACTGCTAACAACAGCAAAATAGTGTATTGCACAAAAATGGAAAAAGAAAGACCCCCCCTACCATAACTGATTGTTTAAGGAAAACTTGGCAATCTGTGTTATGATAAAACTTACAAATGAGAGAAACACAATACATAATGATCAAGAAAACAAAATTAATGAGAGGTGGGCCTTGTTTTTACATTTCTGGAGTGACAAAGTATCTGTCAACATTTTCCCTTTTAATTTATTCATGGTACTATGGAGTTTTGGTTATGTTGTCCTGCTTCCCTCTTCATATGCCATTTCTTTGTTTTTTATTTTCTATTTCACGTGTTTTTTCTTTGTTTGTTTCTGTTGCATGAGAAGCCAGGCTGTTAATGCTTTTTGCTACATATGGTTACAACAATTTAATATTACTAAAATCTAAAAGGAGAGGAGGAGGAGGAAGAGCCCTGCTGGATCAGGCCAAAGACCCATCTGGTCCTGCTTCCTGTTCTCACGGTGGCTGCCCACGTGCCCGTCGGAAGCTTGCAAGCGGGACCTGAGTGCGAGAGCAATTTCCCCTTCTGCAGTTTCAGCAACTGGTATTCACTGCCTCCAACAGTATTTGTCTAATACGGTATTTGTCTAATCGCTGCCCCCCACCCACCCAAGAAAGAGTCCTAGCCCCAGTAGTATGCATTTTGAGCTGGGCTGTCCCAGACACTGTTGGGCCTGAGGGTGTGTGTGGATGTGCTCTCCTTAGCCTCTCTTGTTGTTCCTCCTCTGAGAAAGAGGACAAGCATCCTGGGTCAAAGGGTCACGGCAGAGGTCGTCGGAGCACCTCTGGATCAAACACCAGAGGCAATAACTTCCTGTGGTTGGTGGGCCCCTTTCTGTCTCTCCCCACCCCACCCCACCCACCCGCCCTGCTCCATTCCTCCAGCGCGGCCTGTCTCAGCTCCCTTGATCCTGCGCTCTCGCTTTTGATCTCTGTGGCATGGGTGTGAGGCATCTAAGGATTGCTTGTGAAACGCAGGCGTGGGGCAGGGGGAGCGTCCAACTGCACTGCTGCTGCTGCTGCTCCTCTGTTAAAAGGCCCTGTTCCTTCTTTCTCTCTGGACACAGTTTCTTCCCTCTGTTTATGAAGTTTTTTACACCGGTGGAAGAGACCACAGGGGATATTTTGATGGATTGGAGAGAAGGAAGGTGTTTGATGTGAGCTAGGCTTTGCCTGGGAAATCCTCTCTCCGCCCCCCCATTCTATTAATTTGTAACTAATATCCTCCTACTATATGGGGCCCATCGGGCTGACACCCACTCAGTTTTGGCAAGTCTGCAATTTCAGGTTCTCCTCTCAAATTGCTGTATTTCTCCCTTCCTCCTCCTCTACCCCCCACAGAGCCCAAAGCAGGTGGTCTCTAAACATGTTCAGAGTGTCTCTCACCACTGGGAAGCTTGATGAAGACAAGACAAGCACCTTTCTCACAAATGTGCGTGGTTTTTTGCTTAGGTAAGTTCTCAACTAACTTTAGTCTGACTTACCCATCACTAATGTATGCAGCGATCGCCGAAGAATTGATGCTTTTGAATTATGGTGCTGGAGGAGACTCTTGAGAGTCCCATGGACTGCAAGAAGATCCAGCCTATCCATTCTGAAGGAAATCAGCCCTGAGTGCTCACTGGAAGGACAGATCCTGAAGCTGAGACTCCAATACTTTGGCCACCTCATGAGAAGAGAAGACTCCCTGGAAAAGACCCTGATGTTGGGAAAGATGGAGGGCACAAGGAGAAGGGGACGACAGAGGATGAGATGGTTGGACAGTGTTCTCGAAGCTACCAGCATGAGTTTGACCAAACTGCGGGAGGCAGTGGAAGACAGGAGTGCCTGGCGTGCTCTGGTCCATGGGGTCACGAAGAGTCGGACATGACTAAATGACTAAACAACAACAACAATGTATGCAACTTCCAGCCTGAGAGCTTTGATTCTGGCAAAATCCTCCTTTTCTTTGCACTCAGGAGTGTGTGTGTTTGAAAAACTCTCCTGAGCAGGAATTGGGAACCAATAGCCCTCCAGATGCCGTCACTCCAACTCCCATCAGCCCCAGCCAGCATTGTCAATAGTCAGGAGCGATGAGAGTTGTAGTCCAAAATACTTGCAGGGCACCAAGTTGGCAAAGGCTGCTTTCTGCTCCCAAAGCCTTATACTTGGGTTTTACGCTGCCATAGCTATCTGTATGTTGTCAGGGACGGATTGAGGGGCAGGCGACTCAGGTGCCCGCCTTGGCTGCCAAACTCGGGGGAATCCTATCAAGGACTCTCTGTTCAACTATTTACTCAACAGCTGAAACAAAAATAGTACAAACCTTCGTTTGACCCACATGGGCAGCATTGCATTAATGCTTTGTGTGTTTTTTGATTCGTGGGAAAATTTACGATGTGGCTGGCTGCTCGACAAACTGTGTGTGTGTGTGTGTGTGTGTGAGAAAGAGAGAGAGAGAGAGATTTGCACACTAGGATCTCATCATCTTAAATGACAGGGATAAGCCACTTGCACAAATCATGCATCCAAGCCTAAAAATGCAATTTAAAAATGAAAAAGTTGTACGAATGATGGAGTGTGTGCATGTGCAAGGTGCATCTCACCTGGGCCATCATTTGCTCTATAGCTGGTCCTGTATGCTCTGTCTCTGCACAAGAACAGAACATGCTATTGGGTGTCATATTTAGGTCCCCAAGAATCTCTGCTCTTCCTTGATTAAGAAGTCAAGTTTCTAGCTCTTATTGTTCATGTGTGTGCTTTCTGGCAAAATCTCAGAAGCTCAGAGGGATTGCTGAATCAGATCAGGGATTGGGGTTTCAGTGGCTTAAAGCTCTCTGCTTCTCCTCTATCTCTTGCAGAAGCAGAACAAACAATGAAAAATGCTTTTAAAAGGAAAGGGAAACGAATGCAGCTGTGCAAATTTGGATGTTGAGTGACAACAATGCATTGGTGACACATAAGGTGGCCCTTTTTGCTCTGGTGGCAAAAAAGATCCGGAAGAAGGAATTGGATAAAGTAGCCATAAACTGTAAGGGGGATGAAGAGGACTTAGTTGCCACTCAGTAGTGTAGACGCGGCGGCATCCCTGTTACTGGATATCTTGCACTGCCTCTCTACTCTTTTTATTTGCAGGTGGCTGAATTATATTTTAAACCAATTGGGATTGTATAGAATTGTCATGGCCTTTGACTAGTACAATAAACTTATTTTGAGGTGTGTAAATTAAATAAATTTGTGTAATTAATGCATGTCATGGAATATGGGCTCAGGCTTCCAATTGTCCCTTTTTTTTCACAGAATGCATTCAAGACACACTTTGCACTAGGGCTGTCCCTATTACAGTGGTACCTTGGGTTAAGTACTTAATTCGTTCCGGAGGTCTGTTCTTAACCTGAAACTGTTCTTAACCTGAAGCACCACTTTAGCTAATGGGGCCTCCTGCCACCACGCTGCTGGAGCATGATTTCTGTTCTCATCCTGAAGCAAAGTTCTTAACCCGAGGTACTATTTCTGGGTTAGCAGAGTGTGTAACCTGAAGCGTATGTAACCTGAAGTGTATGTAACCCAAGGTACCACTGTAAAGGTAAAGGGACCCCTGACCATAGGTCCAGTCGTGACCGACTCTGGGGTTGCGGCGCTCATCTCGCTTTATTGGCTGAGGGAGCCGGTGTCCAGCTTCTGGGTCATGTGGCCAACAAGACTAAGCCGCTTCTGGCAAACCAGAGCAGCGCATGGAAACGCCGTTTACCTTCCCACTGGAGCGGTACCTATTTATCTACTTGCACTTTGGTGTGCTTTTGAACTGCTAGATTGGCAGGAGCAGGGACCGAGCAACAGGAGCTCACCCCGTCGCGGGGATTAGAACTGCTGACCTTCTGATCAGCAAGTCCTAGGCTCTGTGGTTTAACCCACAGTGCCACCCGTGTTCCACTGTACTACTATACTACCACTGTACGACTCCAGAAAAAGAAGCTGTAGTCAGAATGAACCTGCAAGTGTGGATGCATGCATGCACAATCACCCCCAGTGTTTGCTGGCAGTGAGGCTTTTGTGTGCAATCCTCTAGTCTGGTCCCATTAACAGGAGGACATTGGTGCTTTCCATAAGCCACTTCTTTAAACAGGAGACTCCCGGAACAAAAGTCATTCTCTGGCCCTCTGCAGCTGAGACATGAAAACCGGGGGGGGGGGGGGGGAGAGGCATCAACTTTGCAATGGAGCAAAGCTGAATCTCCAACCGGCAGGTACGTTTAAGCTGTTTTGTTGGCTGATAACTCTTCCTAGCAACAGACAGCACACACACTTCTCCCTGGGGATTTATTTTAGCTCTACCAACTGTTATATGTAGTGCTAGACTTTCTTTTTCTTTTTCCATCACAGCTCTTTAGAAGCTTAACAGCAGCCAACAACAGGCTTTCCCAGGCAGCTCTGTCCCCAGTCCCTTAGCAGGCTATATTGCTACTTTCCCAGGGGTCTGGAAG